ACCTGAGCTGAGAAGAAAAAGACCATTTGCATAAAATGGATAAGGCTTTAGTGTCACTAAAATATTGACGACTTAGAAACGACTTTTGGTTTCTAATCTTGAACAAGAATTAGGCTGATTTTAATTATCTTTTCCCCACAACCTAAGTCCTAAAATTCTGGAATATTAATCTCTTGAGGATGTGTTTTAGTACACGGTATCTAAGTTCCAATTTTCTTTTCTTGTTAACACAACAGAAGTATCTCAAATATTTTCAGGGCCAGGTAACAAAGAAAAAGAAACCCAAGCCTCCTTTCTCTTAAAAGTTTTTGCATTGTACTGATGTAATCTTAGGCTCTTTCCTGTTCTAAATCTCAGATAAAAGACTGTATGACAAGGCCGGGCGTGGTGGCTCACACCTGTAATCCCAACACTTTGAGGCCAAGGAAGGTGGATCACCTGAGGTCAAGAGTTCGAGACCAGCCTGGCCAACATGGTGAAACCCCATCTTTACTAAAAATATAAAAATTAGCCGGGTGCAATGGCACATGCCTGTAATCCCAACTACTTGGGAAGCTGAGGCAGGAGAATCGTTTGAACCAGGGAGGCAGAGGTTGCCATGAGATGAGACTACGCCACTGCACTCCAGCCTGGGGAACAGAGAAGGACTGGATCTCAAAAACAACAACAACAAAAACCATATGACAGTTATGCACACATATTCCCTGAAATATGTTAATATACATTTAATTAGTAACATGCAACTATATTAATGGATTACAACCTGAAGAAAAAATTACTTTTATAAGTGTTAATTCCCAAAATTACAAATCTTAATTGTTTGAAGGATATACAGGAAGGCTTAACAGGATATACACTCATACACACTCATGCAATTTATCCTTACATCAACATTTTATATTCACAATTTCACCTTTAATTCCCTTTTTACACAATACATCTCCCCCGTCCTCAAACAGCTGAACCTAGAATCAACTGTTTAAAACACATCGAGTTAAAATGTGGAAAAATAGGTTTTTACTATACTATGCAAATAAGATAACACTTGTTTTAAGAAATAAATGTTGTTCAACAACAAAAGTGTACTAATGTGTAAGCTAAGGAAAAAAACCAAACAAACAAAACAAAACCTCAAACTAAAAACAAGGGGAAAACCCCCCAAAAACATAAGGCTTATCTAGATCCAAAATGGGGTAAGAGGGAAAAAGAAAACTCATTTCCTTTCATTAAAAATCAGAGTGCAACATCTATAGTTAAACAACTTTATTAACATAGTCAAGCAGTGATTAACATTCACATCTATTATGTCACATCATACAAATGTAAATACAAAATTACTACAGTACAATATATATTCTCTGCATGATCCAAAATATTTGGTGGCCCCAAAAAACTCTCTTTAAAATTCAGCAGCTTATCAAAAATTAAAACCGTATTCTATTTAAAATGGAGATCTGTTAGCACAGAGTTAGACTTCAAGAAATATCAATTTAGTACAGTTTGAGAAGTTGCAGGAGGATATGTTTGAAGGACACATTCTAACATAGTGTGGCAGGTACACGAAACATCAGATTTAAAGCTTTTAAGCATAACTCATACAACCTAAGTTGTCAGCAGAAAGATCCAGTTATTTATAACTAAAGCTAATGCTACTAAATTATTGCACCCAATGTTAACATATTAAGTGTAAAACTGTTTTGTAATATGAAGTCATTTACCACGTTTAAACATCTCTTCTCACAAGATGATAATCTATTAAGTAAAACTAATCATACAGTATTGTCTAATTATTGTCTCCATAAAAATCACCCAAGCTCAATTTGCTTATATATCCATAAAGGAAAACAACAACATAGTAGTATGCGGAAAGTACAGTGGAACCCCTTTATGAGGCCGACATTAGAAGGGGACCAACACTGCCTTATAGGCTAACCATATTATAATAGGCTTTCAGAAAGATGTAAGACCTGCGAAATAGCTAATCTTGAATAATACCAAGCCACAGTATAAGGAAATTCTATGGTAGATAAACAAAAATTGCAATAAAAAGAAAAACTGCTTTTCTTATTAGTGATACACTGCTTGGCAAATAGATTTGGCTTGGTTTTAAAATGTACAAGAGGTGAAAAAAAATCACCATTTTAACTTCTTTCAAAGTCATGCATACATTCAGCTATTATGCATCTTTTAAAAAACAAAATACATTCTGGAATACAAACCACAATGAACAATTGTGTAATTTAAATGTGTACCTTTAAAATTAACATGTATAATAACTAGGCATAAAGAATTATCTACGTAAATAATGCTAATGGGTGAAAGATCTACATGAGATTGAAAAAATTAGTCAGAACTCACCTGGAAAGCCTAAAGGTGAATAAAACTAACTTTTATGTAAAATTTAATTTTAGAGAGGCATTAGAAGTATCTCCACATTTAATACAGTATAAAATGCACTACGTTGGTATACAATGCTATATTGCATGGTATTATTACCAGATAATATTGTTAACAACACAGCTCATTATTGATCTAACCTTTCATTTAGATTATCCCAGGCCCATAACTATCTGAAGACCAGTTTTCTTAAAGGTTCCAAGGCCTACACTTCATTAACAATACTAGTACCAACAGTTAGTTTCCCCGCCTTGTATTATTTGCAAAAATAATTCAGTAAGCAAAGCTGTGTATGTTTTAAAGTACTATCAAAGGAAGGACTTAAATTGCAGTTATGCATGATACACTCTTCCCCTGGGAAGAATGCTTTTGCACCGTTATCTGTTAATACATTCAATATGAATAATATAGATTAACCATATGAAGCAAAAAAACACTTTTTCCTCATGGCAAAGGACTTAAATTTAGACTAAAGAGTTTAAGATGTAACTAATTTATTTCTGGCTTTTCTGCTAGGCAGAATAATTTTATATAGGGGAGAAAAATGTCCACTTTCCTATTTGAGAGTCTGAAGAAAATGAGGACCAAATGTAGCTCATTTTCAGTTAAACCTGCACGCAAAAGGCTTGTCAGGAGGGCTTTATACCACCCCAGTCTGCTAGAATATTAGGAAAAAAATCAGACTAAATGGAAAGAGTCTCAATGAAATACACTAAAAAACAAAGAATGTAAGTAGGATGACCCTTTATAAGCATGTCACCAAAGCAAAAACAATACAAGAGTATTCACCTGAGATAAAACTTGTATCTGAATATTTTATAACTGAGTAGACAAAGCATTTCAAGAGGAAAGTCCATTGAAATTAGTTTAAAATATACATCTGATCCTATTTTACAATATATGCAATTTAAGCAATTCAGATGAAAAAGTCTTAACCAAAAAAATCACAGTGTTTATCAATATGTTAATTACAAAATGTATGCTACTTGTTTTGTTTTTAAGATGTAATGGCTTGGTTAAGTGTTTTAAAATCTATTCTTCTGAAATCTAACTTGCGTAACAAAATCAAGTAGCAATAATGTAAAGCATCAGAACTGGCTCTTAAAAGATTATTTACATGTTGATTATTTGGGAAATAACCAACCAAAAAATATAAAAAAGTGATTTTTTTTTTAAACACAGTATGAAGTCATTGAAGAGATCAGACAATACAAAAAGCAAAATTCTTTCCTGAATAAATGAATACCTGTGTCACTAAGTTCACTCACTAATGGACTGTAACATGGAACTGCCAAACATGCATTTAAGTTATATTAATTACACTTTCTGTTTCCAACTTAGGTTGATCAGCAGCTTTGTTCTGTTAGAATCCTTCAAAGAGAGAAGCTCAAACAGGAAAAAGAAGGCATATATAAAACAGTAAACACTGACCTCCTGAGGTTCCTACAACATAAAAATATTCAAGTAGAAAATCTACATCACTTAGCAGCGGCTATTTCTGTAGTTGAGCACACTAACAGCGTTTTAGTGTGTAAGGAGCAGATGAAGTAAGCCGTGCTTTAAGCATGCCAAGAGGCAGAAACACTGGAATGTAACAAAGACAAACTCACAATTTCATAGACATTCAGTCAACATTCAAAACTATTAAGACTACACAAGAATTAAGTTGCTTTATATATATCCCATGATGTATTAGGTTTTATCAGAATAAATGCTAAATCAGAGCTTACCTCAAAAGATAACTTAAATGGCTTCTGCAAATTCCTGTTCTACACTATGTATCTGAAATATAAATTAGGAAGAAACAATAACCTCAAGGGGAAAAATACACAAAAAATCCCAATACAAATTCAGGTTGCCAGTCATATTTACCTAATTTTATTATTTTCAAATTAAATTTCATTTAAATTAAAAAAATGTCAAGTGACTACAAAGCTGGGTGCATTTTTAATAGTGTTATTCATCTGCCTAATTGGAAACTAACTTTTAACCAGACAGGTGACAATATTGCCTTTAGTCAGTACAGAATTGTCAACCACAGGTTAAAAAAACTTTACTGAAGATTGTTTTTATGTGTTTTAAATTGAATTTGGTCATTTCAATTTAAAATATTATCTATTCCAGAATATTAAACTAGCTCTCATATTATTCTAAGTATTTGAAACACTACAGAATATCACTATAATCTAAGAATAAAACAGCTACTCTACTCAGTTACTAAAGACTAACAGGGAGGAAAATTTTGAGCCCCCAGTGAAGCAATGGTACTAGAAAGCAAAATGCTGTATACCCTCTGAATCCAACTTATAATTTAAAAAATACTAGGCACTATAAAATAATTTAATTTCAGGCTCTACAGACTGAAATTTGCAAAGCCAAAGTAGAGGAAACGTGAAAGAACGTGTTAAAACAAAAAAAACAAAACAAAACAAAACAAAAAAATACACACACACACATAATAACAAAAACCTTTCTGCATGCTACCATGCATTTGAAATTTTTGAAACAGTATAAATTCACACGCACACAGCTCAAACTTCAGTGCAATGGCTGTATCATTCAACACTTTTAGAGAATAGAACCATGCAAAGAGGAGCAACTGCTTATAAAAATGGTTACTCAGTATTTATTCTGCAATGCGAAGGTGACAAACTAAAATATAAAAAGGCTGTTATGGCTTAACATTTTTGTTGCAGATTAAATATGCAGCATTGAAAAATGGAAAGGCGTGGCTTCATCTCTGACCAGCAGAGTTAAAAAGAAAAATCTCTCCATTTTCCTTCATCATGGGATACACTGTTCAGGCAATCCAAATTAATAAAGACTTGCACTTTCATATGAACACAAGATCAAGTGTACCAGTTAGGTTTTCACATTCACAGTATATAAGAAAATACACATGGAAGGAAAAGTAAAGGGTTAACTTAACAAGGATTTATTCACAGGAATACATGTAAGTAGAGAAAAATAACAGAAAAGCTAAACAAATGAAATGAAGAGGATCCAAACCAACTTTCACTCTGTAGCTTTTAACTTGCACCCTGTGTGCATATATCTAGGGCACAGAGGGCCACCAACATGCGCCAAAATACAGTGTAGGAACCCTGCATTACATCCATTAACTTAAACATATCTTTAAGATCATGCTTTGAACAAAAAAGGGAAGCTTAGAAGGCAGTATGTTGAGTGGGAATAAACATTGAAATATAGCAATCATTTTCAACTTCTACAATTGTCTTTATGTGCCAACTAACATTTATGCAGCCTTTTACAGATCTTTTACCATGTAATTTAAATTTTAGAAGTTTTGATAAAATCACTAGTAGTATATAACCATGCAGAAAGCACATCACACTGACAGCACAGAGGCAAAGATTTTGCACAGGTATATCAGCTTTCCACATTGTGCAGGTTACACACGATACAATATCAATCTTATCCTAACAGATCCTAAAAAAGATATTTCAAGGCCTACCTGTAACTACAGTACTTTATATATCTATATTCTTAATAAAAAATAAAATCCACAAATCTTAAAAAGGAACTTTAAATGCAGGGCTATATTGAATTGGTAAACTGCAACACAAACTGGCGCAACATAGGTAAATGAATACCAATCTCACTCTATGTGATGCAAGCATGCTACTTTCCCACTAATTTCAATTACTTTCAACCACTATGAGCCAGAATGCATGCCTGAACCTTAAACTGCACTTTAAAAAATAACATCTTGGCCTAGAAATTAACTAATGAAGTATAACCATCAAATTATATCTGCTACATTAATGTTCAATGCAAAATTAAGATGTCATCTTTAGTTTGATATGCCCAACCCCATTTATTCCTCCCTCCCTGCCCATCCCAAAAAAGGTAAAAGGAGTGACTCATTTGGCATTTCACAGGGTGCTTCATTGTTTATGTTTGTTTTGCTTTATTTCCAACTTTTTTGGGGTACCTTAAATTGTAACTTCCAAGAACCTGCTTCTACTATGGGAAGGCAAGCTGATTTTAACTATATTAGTTTTGTTTGTGTAGTTCTTCACCAACATGCAAAACAAGGCCCCATCATGTGGGAAAACTTATATAAAAAAACTTTAAATTAAAAAAAAAAAAAAAGCTTCTTTACTATTTGTAACTCCCATTCTTAGGTTTCCTTTATTGTGCGCTGTTGAACTGTTCCTCTTTCTTGTCCCTAGGCATCATTTATATGGTTCTTGTTTTGGTACAATTCCCCATAATATTCCACAATGTACTGTTTTGTGAGTAGACTGAATAGATTTTTTTTTTTTTTTTTTTTTTTTGCTTCTTCACATCCACTGCGGAGTTGTAACTGGAGACATATTTCCACCCACAAAAGCTCCAGATGTTAAAACGTTTCCCAACATCGACTTAATACAGTGACGGCAACACCTCCCTCCCGCCCCTCCCAGTAGGGTTGGGATTGTACTGTATTCCCTACTGGTTTACCCTTCCCCCCTGTAAAGGGTAACATTTTCCCTGGGTGCAGAGGCTCCCTCATAGTCTCCAAGACTGAAGGACCTATAAGAAAAAGAACAAAAACAATTTTATCTTTAACGATCGTTTGTCTTTCAAAGCCAGTGGAGCACAAAATTAATCAAATACGAATACTATCTTTACCCATAAAGAAAATGAGAAGTTTGGACAAATTGCCTAAGATCATGTTAGTCACTTATAACTACACTGCTTCCTTCTCTTATGGTGCTGAATTGTGCTGCATCAGGTGTGAAAGTGAGGCCAAGCTGGGTAGCAGAGTTGTACAGACAGGCGTACAACACTTTGTATAGATGAAATAAGGCTTGTATGATGCTATTAGTCTAATTCTTTATCCCCTTTTGCAAAATGGGACCCAATGGGAACTGGTTATTTATTATATAACAAGTGGCCTTATTTTCTTGAAAATTAAGTAGCACTTTCTTTAGGACAACCCTCAGAATGAAAACACCATCTTCCCCCCCGCCCCCCCGCAGTATTCTCAATATTAAGCAAACAAAAATTCCACCTATCAAAACACAAAGGAGCATTTTTTATTTGGGGTTGTCTGATATTTTAGCCTAGAAGGCACTAGAAGTGTTCATTACCACAGTAGGGTTACTACATTCAGTAAATATCAAAAAACAAATTCTACATAAAAAAAGAGAGAAAAGCAAATTTAACATTTATTTATTTATTTTGGAGATAGCACCTGGCTCTGTCACCCAGGCTGGAATGCAGTGGGGTGAATATGGCTTACTGAAGCCCCAACCTCCTGCGCTCAAGCAAACCTCCTGCTTCAGCCTCCTGAGTAGCTGGGACCATAGGTGCATACCACCACGTCCAGCTAATTTTTAAAATTTTTTTCATAGAGATGGAGGTCTCATCATGTTGCCCAGGCAGGTCTCAAACTCCTGGGCTCAAGCAACGCTCCCACCTTAGCCTCCCAAAATGCTGGAATTATAGATGGGGGCCATTACACCCTGCCTACACTTGCCTTCTTGATGTTCCTAATTCTCATTCTGATCCTATTTCATTTGGTCATTTCCACTATCTTCCAGTCACTTGGTTTTCCTGGTAAGACCTTTTTTCTATGCTAAACAGTTTTAATGATAAAAAGGATATTAAGAAATAAGGTAAGATTACTGGGAGATTAAACTGTTACCTGACAGTGGTCCTTTTACAAACAGAACTCTACTACCCACTGATGCCAAATTTTGGCCATTTATGAACGTTCATGTGAATTCACAGAGGGCAGTTAATCCATCTGTGTAGAAATACAAGCAACCCACTCCCCTTTTCTCCTGCCTCTGAAGAAAGGGAAGAGGAGTATAAAAAGGCAGGAATAAAAGATACTGATCTATTTTTAGCTCTAATTACAAAATCGAGAACTATTTCATACCTTGTCTTAGAACAGCTGATTCATAATTGGTGATGAGACCACAGAGGTAATAAATCTGAAAATGATTCACTTAAGTAATTTTATTTTCTATTTATATGAGATGGAGTCTTGCTCTGTCCCCCAGGCTGGAGTGCAGCGGCACGATCTTGGCTCACTGCAACCCCCATCTCCCAGGTTCAAACAATATTCCCACCTCAGCCTCCTGAGTAGCAGAGACTACACGAACGTGCCACCACCACGTGGCTAACTTTTGTATTTTTAGTAGAGGTGGGTTTTCACCATGTTGGCCTGGCTGGTCTCAAACTCCTGACCTCAAATGACCTGCCCGCCTTAGCCTCTCCAAGTGCTGGGATTACAGGCATGAGCCACTACGCCTGGCCCACTTAAGTAATTTTAAATTTAAAGCGCAAGATAGAATGATATGAGGCTATGTTTTATTCAACTTCTATAGAAAACAAATAGCTTTTTATTCTATTTAGTAGTTTGAAATGATAGCCCTAACAAAATTTTCTTCATCCTGAAAATTTCCAAACTTCTTATAACTTACCCCTAATTTTGGGACTGCAGCTTAAGTGTATTAGATTAAACACCATAAAAAGCTGCAAGACGCTCTTTTAAGGGAAGAGGAAACTGGTCAGAGAAACGCCTCCAATTTTCATCGCCAACTTGATTTTTAAATCCATGAAGGATCTGTAAGAGTGAAAAACCATTAATTTATCACTAACAAAAGAGAAAAACAGATCTGCATAGTTTCTGAAATCCAACACAACTGATTTTATTATTTATAAATTTTATCCATTTTAAAGTAGCAATTCTCAAACTTTGTAGGATTCTACACCATTCCCTGCTAGTATGTTTTGGCTGTGTGTGCCCACCCAAATCTCATATTGAATTGTACTCCCATAATTCCCACATGTTGTAGGAGGGACTTGGTGGGAGATAATTGAATCATGGGGTCAGTTTTTCCTATACTCTTCTGGTGGTAGTGAATAAATCTCATGAAATCTGATGGTTTGATAAGGGGAAACCCATTTCACTTGATTGTCATTATTTTTCTTGCCTGCTGCAATGTAAGACGTGCCTTTCACTTTCCACCATGACAGTGAGGCCTCCCCAACCACATGGAACTGTGAGTTGAATTAAATCTTTTTCTTTTGTAAATTACCCAATCCTGGGCACATCTTTTTTTTTTTTTTTTTTTCTTTTTTTGTGGGGGACAGAGTTTACTCTTGTTGCACATGCTGGAGCGCAATGGCACGATATCAGTTCACTGCAATCTCCACCTCCTGGGTTCAAGCGATTCTCCTGCCTCAGCCTCCTGAGTAGCCGGGATTACCGGCGTCCGCCACCATGCCCAGCTAATTTTTCATATTTTTAGTAGAGATGGGGTTCCACCATATTGGCCAGGCTGGTCTGGAATTCCTGACCTCAGGTGATCCACCTGCCTCGGCCTCTCTCAAAGTGCTGGGATTACAAGTGTGAGCCACCGCGCCCGGCCCTCGGGCATATCTTTATCAGCAGCCTGAATATGGACTAATACACCTGCCTTTCCTAAAAGTACTTCATAGCATATGCTTAAACTCTGCTTTGAGAAGTTTAGAATTTGGCAAGTATTCCAGTAACAGACATACTCTAAGCAATCTGATACCATACTAATGAAAAAACAGAGTAGTAGAGAAGTCATCCAAGTAATACAATTTTTATGTAGTATTTTTTCAAACTGGAAATATACAAGCTTTGAGCTCATGACAAACTACAGTTCACTAACTTTAATCTTGGGTGATTCAAATGTGTAACTGCATTTTATTTTTTACTGTGGTTGAGTACTGATGAGTTAATCAAAAGGGGGTATTGACAAAGCAAATAGGCCGGGCGCGGTGGCTCATGCCTGTAATCCAGCACTTTGGGAGGCTGAGGCAGGCGGATCACGAGGTCAGGAGTTCGAGACCAGCCTGACCAACATGGTGAAACCCCACCTCTACTAAAAATACAAAAATTAGCTGGGCATGGTGGTGCGTGCTTGCAATCCCAGCTAATAAGGAGGCTGAGGCAAGAGAATCGCTTGAACCCAGGAGGCGGAGGTTGCAGTGAGCTGAGATCATGCCACTGCACTCCAGCCTGGGAGACAGAGCGAGACTCCGCCACCAAAAACATAAACAAAGCAAATAATGACATGGGCTTACTCCTGTGGCGGCCATTTAGATTTACTCTTTTTCAGATTATACTCCAAATCTCCATTTCCACTTGAAAAACATGTACTATTTTCCTTAAATGGAATAATGGGACCACCTAAACTAGTGGTACACTTGGGAAAATACTTTCAAAGTGCATCCTTTACAGATAGGAGTCACTGCTAGGCCAGGCGTGGTGGTTCACGCCTGTAATCCCAGCACTTTTGGAGGCCGAGGTGGGCGGATCACGAGGTCAGGAGATCAAGACCATCCTGGCTAACATGGTGAAACCCTGTCTCTACTACAAACACAAAAATTAGCTGGGCATGGTGGTAGTGGGCGCCTGTAGTCCCAGCTACTCGGGAGGCTGAGGCAGGAGAATGGCACGAACCTGGGAGGTGGAGCCTGAAGTGAGCTGAGATCGCACCACTGCACTCCTGCCTGGGCAACAGAGTGAGACTCCAACACACTCTCACACACACACACACACACACACAAAGGAGTCACTGCTGTATTTTAAGAAAAGATCAAACCACCTTTGTTACCAAGAAAAGAGTTATATATATAAACTAACAATACTGACTTGAAGAGCCTAAGTTTTGTAAAAAATGTAAACATAATTTAAAGTTTTCCACTAGGATATTAACAGTCCCAAGATGATGCATTATAAACACTTATTAGTTACCTTACAGAACATGTCTCTGAGATCATCTTTTGGGTTAATCCATGATGCAACGGCATCACAAAAAAATATAAAATCCTGTAACAAGCAAGAAATACATCTTAGGTTGACATTGTACTTGTCAAACTCAGCAAAAGATACATGTAAACCTTGGAGTTTAGAATCTAGCTTAAAAAAGGAAACATTTAAAAATTAACTATGATCATGAGGAATTAGAAGAGATTACCTTAATGGCTGTCCCTATTAGCCCACAGTCAAGGAACCTCAACTCATTCAGTTTATACTGGACTTTAATGTCCTCCATCACACAACAAAATAACCCCCTGTGCAGTAAATGTTCAGCATCAGAAATGAACTGAAAGCACCAAATCGACACCTATAAAAATACTCTTTCACTTACCGGATTAAAGAAAAACATAAAATCAATGATCTTACAGTTCTGACTAGCCAAGAACTTAAAGCTAGCTAAATATATGTTAAATGACCTTGATTTGAAATAGAGAAATTAGTGATTTCAAGGTCCATTTTCAGACAAAACTTAAGTGAAACAACCAAAAATTAGAGAAAAACTAATTATGTAATTACAAATACCCAATCCAAACAAGAACCAAAAACCCAACTTTTGGACAATTACTTAAAAGATAATCAGGCTATTCTGACTACAAGAACAAGATGACAATATGCTTTAAGCATTTCATTAAAACATTCTCTCAATCTTGCCTATCATACTGAAACATTAACAGTTCAACAAACAGCAGTCAACATAATGCTGATTTTCTGACATGTCAACTATAAATTTTACTAATAAATTCAGAGAATATCACTAATTTCAAAAAATTTGGTAATACCACAGTATGTGTATAAGATGCTTATTTAAGCAAATAAGACTTGCTTAACACAATTTATTCAAATTATGTCTTCCAAATACCTAATCTGATGTTAAAAATTTAAATGCATAGATACCTAGAATTTCTGATTAAAAAATTTAAATGTAAATAAACCTATGACATTTTATTTTAACCATATCCAAAATAAGGTATGTAAATAAAAGTTGTAAACTCTTAAGTTGGTAGCAATTTTATGATCATACATGTGCTACTTTTATCATCTTAAAACATTAATTCAAAGAGAAAGAAACAATAAAATCCTGGTCGGAAGATGCTTTTGAAAAAGATGGTACATGTCGTATCAGATATCTCTAACACACATTTGAGATCACACGAAGTTCTTAAGTATTTTAAAAAAAACAGAAAATGTCAAGAGCTTATTGTGTAACTAGAAACCTCTCAAGATGGCACTAGCTTGTTCTAACAGTAAGTTATGAGTATTTTATGAGTGTGAAATCAGTCAGAAGTTATTATCTAACTCTAACTTGTAGGTTTTCAATGTCTATCATCTAAATCAATTTGAATTTTATAAAACAGAATTAACGTTTCTAAAACCGAGTTAAGAAAAACCACAATACAAGCTAGGAAACATCAAACGGTCACAATTTAAAAATGTTCAAAACACCCCTCTCGGAGTGGAAAGTTGTAATTTTCTTGAAAATTAAAAAATGTGAGAAAGTTATTGCTATAAAAGCATTTTTTGGAGGCAGTTTTCTAACTCTTGTGTGCATTCCTGGACACCAAAGTTTAGTTCTTCGCTTCCCTCCCTCAACTACTTTTTTTTTTCCCAAAGTCTCGCTCTTGTCTCCCAGACTGGAGTGTAATAGTGTGATCTCGGCTCACTGCAACCTCTGCCTCCCAGGTTCAAGCAATTCTCCTGCCTCAGCCTCTGGAGTAGCTGGGATTACAGGCACCTGCCACCACGCCTGGCTAATTTTTGTATCTGAAGTAGAGACAGGGTTTCACCATGTTTGCCAGGCTGGTCTCGAACTCCTGACCTTGTGATCTGCCCAACTCAGCCTCCCAAAGTGCTGGGATTATAGGTGTGAGCCACCATGCCTGGCCTCAACTACATTTTAAATTGATTTGATATATCTTGGGTCTCTTGTCTACAGGTTTCCTTCCATGCTTTCTTTTCCTTAAACGTGTCTGCTGAAGAATCCAGGTATTTAACCTAGAGTCCCACAGTTAGTCTTTTGTTCACTGAATATACACGGTGTAATTCAACATGTTTTTGTTTTGCGTGTCTAGAAAATTGGCAGTTGGATCCAGATGCGTAACTGGACTCATGTTCAATACTACTGCCAAATAATTAAAATGTCTACATATAACTTGAACTTGGAAAACAAAGATGAATAAATCATAAGCTCTCAAAATTAGAGCAATTTCAATGGCTGATTTGTGTTTCATTTTATTCATTATTTCTAAATCTGATTCAAAGTATTTTATTTAGAACAGAGAGACAGGATTCCTACGATTTGGTCACTCTCTTAAGTGTAGATAGCCACAAACTGATATCCAGGGATGGGAGGCAGGGACAAAATAAATAAATGAGGTCTGAAATTTGGATGAAAGAAGCCACGGCCTGATTCAAGACAAGAATATAACCTTGTTGTCCCAATCTGCTGTTACTATCTCATTTCATGACAAAAAAAAATTTAGGAAAAAAAGGCATTACAATTTCAAGATATTAAGAAATAAACATTTTAAAGGTTTAACTGTATTTTAATATCTTTGAAAACAGTTAACTTTTTATAAATAAAGTATTAAAATATTTCTTCCTTTAAAATTTTATTAATCAGACATTAAAAACAAATCTTTGTGAACATCTTACTTGGATTACGCCACTGGGATTCACACTGATCATGGTACAAATTCCACGGAATGCTGAATCCTTTTCCTCATTGTCTCTTATGTTTCTCAGAGAGGTGCACCTGTTGAATTACAGAATTGAGTTCAGCATTTAAGTAACAAGCAGATTCAATTACAATACTAATGGACAGTATTTAATGGAATAAGCAGCACAGTATAGATAATGATTATATTAAAAGAGTTTTTCGGAAAGCTTTAGTTTCATTTACTCATACTTCCTGTTTGTTGGGCCCATCTTATCTCAATACAGTAGAAACAGTGAAATCCACATTTTCTTAATAAATTGCATCTATAAAGTAGATAACTCATTTGAAGCTCCCATTTTAAACTATTACTGAGCCTGAGCCAAGAAGAGCAAATTACCAAATTAACTTTTAAAATTGTACTCATGACTTGTATTCCATTAAACACTACTAAAATGATTTGAATTGAAAGATTATCAATTGAAAGAAGCAAAACATAGGATATAGTGCCACAATATAAACTATTACTATATAGCTTATGGTGTAGATGTTTAATTTTTACATTAACAAGCAAATAATATTTTTATACGTAACAAATTTAAACATGTATTTCTTAATGCAATCCAAGTTTCCAAATTAATTCTAAAAAAGAAACGTAATGCAAAACCTAAATTTATAGAATTTGCATGCATCTTTATTTTTCTGGTGGATATTTAAATGCTTTTTATGTATAATCAAGCTTTTTAACACAGCAAGCATGTGACAATCTTATCCCATGCATCAATTAGTCGTTAGCCACAACATAAAATAAATATACATGACGATGCTATTGAAAAACCTCACAAACCTGATAGGACAAGATTAGTCACATGGTTGGCAATGATAAAGGATTGTGATTTTTGTAACCAACTGAAAATATATCTAAAAGTGAGATAGAGAAAGAAAGAGTGAAGAAAAATGAATTAAAAAAAAAGATTGAATAATACACACCAGGGTCTTATAAACTGCTGTAGCATGGGGGCCACCTCTTGAGGACAAACGTAACCAAGACGACCAATTGTTATTGCTAAGGTAACGCAATCACGGTTATACACCACCAAACGCCAACCAAGACATGAGCAAATGAGGGGGAAGGAGAAAAAATAAAGAAAAAACAACAAATAACTCAGAAACAGAAACCAACAGAATTTGTGTATGATAATAAACATAAGATTTCACCAGTGCTGTTTATTACCACCCCCTAAAATAAGGGGCAGCAACATATATGGCATACTCTTGGAAAAAGAAAAACAAAAGGAAGTAAAAAAATCTAAAGATTGAGAGAACACCAAAAACCATGATGAATTGCTTTTCTCGCTCAATCGAGTGTCAAGTTATCATTCTGTTAATAAGATGAGCAATTAAATGGACAAATTTAGATAACCTTCATTCAAAAGTTAGCCAAAATTTCAGAATTTAATAATAAAATCTAGTTTTTTTCCTGAGGAAATATCAGTAAATGTGATTATATTTCTCAAGTATCTCAAACTAATACAGGTGAAAGTAATTTCCATTCCTTGGAAATTATCTAGGGAATTTAAACCAAATTTTTGGTAGTTTAAAAATTTTTTTATTTGATTAACATTTGCCAAACCAACCAGTGGAAATCTGTTACTTTATATCAAAATCAACTGTCAGATTTTAAGTCTCAGTACTCACTGAATGAATGGATTAGAATATTGCTATGCTACAATGTCAAATCTCATTTTGACAAACCTCTGGTAATTCAGATAACAGTCCACTAACTTTAGGCCATATTTGAAATAAAATTCTAATAAATGAAATTTACAGCCCACTGCAATGACATATGATATGTGGACCATAGGAAAACATAAATATTCTGTTTCTGCTACTAAAGGTACAGCACAAAATAGGTAATACATTATAATAATTACACACTATTATTTTATTTTTTACAATTTTGAAGTGGGCAAACATATATTCACCATAAAAATTGAGGAAGTCTTTAAACTTACAAAGAGCTAAAACAAGTGCAACTCGGAACTGCATTCTGCAATTCAAAGGTACGTACATATAAATACATTCATACACAATGGGAAAAAATACAAACAGAAAACAAACCATGAAGTGCTTTAATGGTGTTCTCTCAAAAACTTACAGGTTAACCTTTCATAAAAAAAGGGTAGGGGGTAAAGAAAAATGTTTAAGGATTACTTGAAGCAAACTACACAGATAATACTAAAATCCAGCAGATTCATATGAAGCAAGAGAAAGAAAACCTATGTTCAAAAGACACAAACTATGCAACATTCTCATTAAACAGGCAAGTATGAACAATCCAATGAAACATGCGATAAAGCAGATGATGGTCCATTGAAAAAGTTCAGTGTAGGATATACTAATCGGAAAAAAGCAAATTAATGGCAGACTAAGGAATTGGCTTTATGAAATATTGAGATAATGGTAATTAAAAGCTGCTAAAATCTAGGTATTAGCCATTGACAATGATTTTAATAATTTAAAAAACCCACTTTTTTGGGTAAGAAATAAAGAAAACAATACTTTATGCAGCCACTTGTGATAAGTGATAATCTAAGTGTGATAATCCAAGTGTGTTTCTCAATAACATCAATTTAGTCCATCAACTTTAGGGCATTACGACTCATTTATTTATGCAGGATATAATCATACTTAAAATATAATCTTATAAATAAAGCCAATTTGTTTAATAAACTATGTAACAAATTCACCAGCTGATATCCCACAAGAAACTTTCATATACATTACACTCAACATTTATTTGCAGTTAAGCATTCACATTTAAAAATAAAAAGAAGTTTTTTTAGGTTCAACAATAATTTTATAATGGCAAGTGTTTCAAATCTGAATGTCATGTATAGGTACTGCATTCTGAAAAGATAAAAACCTAACAAGATTTCATAACCCATCCTATACATAGATTTTTGCACTTTTCAGCAAGAAAATCTAATTCACTTTGTAAAATAAACAGTACCCATACAGCCAAACAGCCAGATAACTGCTTCATAATTAAAAGATTTCCTTCCATACCAATAAACATTATCAATTTTAATAGCATTAGAATAAAATGAACTTTCTATAATTTAAAAATACCAAATAAAATGCCTTTGAAAATTAACTTTCTTATTTGGAAAACCTTATTTTAATCTTTGTCTAGTATTTTGGTAGAATACTCATTGAATTATAAATAAATTATAGGAATCATCTTAGTATGTAAAGAAAGGAATGTGCCTGAATGAAAACAAAATTTCTGTCTTTCTGGATTGTTAGCAGCAATCAGGGAGGGTAGAAAGAAAAGGACCCAATCCACCCACAAAAGTGTTCTATAGTATGGAAGGTACTCTTTAATATAAACATGCTCTCTATAATGCAAAAGAGAAACAAGCTTCCTAAAAAAAAAAAAAAAAAAAAAAAATCCCATAACATACTGCCTAAATTCCCAATTCGAAGAAAATTGTATGATGAAATACAAACTACAAATGCCATTGTTATCCAACCAATTTGCCACTGAATCTTTCTGACCACATTTGGACAGATTAAAAAAATAAAAAATTACTTCCCAGCTCCCAGTTACTCTCCGAATTGATTTAAAAGCAAAATTCAGGTGGTTCAAATAGTTATCTTAGCTGGGATCCATTTTAGGAAGTATTAAAACACTGGAATAGGGGAGAAAAGTGTTTTTCTGGTTATACCACTGAATATATAACCACTGAAAACTGGTTATAGAATGTAGCTGGAACAGTATATTTCATTACTGAGAATCCAAAATAGCAATTAAATACAAAATAAGCTTGATTTTAAAAGCTAGTTTTGCTTTGGTTTCTCTACGCATATTAAAATTAAAATGCAACAAATTTTCTCTTCACTGAAACAGTTCAGTCATATGGTACCTGTATTCTCTAACAACGTCTTTGGTGTGTTGGGTCTGTTAATGATTTCTACAAGCTGGTGCAACACCATAGGAATATAAGGCTGCATCTCTATACCTAGAGATCATCCCAAAAAGAAAAAAACAAAACAGAAAAATTGAACGTTAAAATATCAATGTGAAATTTTGCTTCCCTTATTAACTCTGATGTGTCATACAAATACAGAAACATAAATAAAATTTAAGCAATTACAAAAATATCAAGGCACCTAAAAATTTGTATTTTATTTATTTATTTATTTAGAGACAAAGTTTTGCTCTGTCGCCCAGGTTGGAGTGCAGTGGTGTAATCTCAGCTCACCAAAACCTCTGCCTCCCAGGTTCAAGTGATTCTCCTGCCTCAGCCTCCTAAATAGTTGGGATTATAGGTGCCCGCTACCACGCTAGCTAATTTTTGTATTTTTAGTAGAGACGGGGTTTCACCATGTTAACCAGGCTGGTCTTGAACTCCTGACCTCAGGTGATCTGCCCACCTCAGCCTCCCAAAGTGCTAGGATTACAGGCGTGAGCCACTGTGCCAGGCCTTACGCTTTTAAATAGGGAAAAACATCTTACCCATTTGAATGGAGATTTCTCCAATTGCCCATGTGGCATTGTTGCAGACTGAAATGAATTCTGGATTTAGGTTGGTTCCCAATATTGGCATGAAATCAGCTAGAAAAAAAATTTAAACTATGTAGTAAACTTTTCAATAGCAGTATATTGTATTTTAAAGGAAATCTACTAGATGGAAACAAAAATCTAAGCAAGAAATAACAAGTTTCACCATTAAAAAAACTACTGCAAAATCGATTTAAAAATCAGTGGAAAAAGTTAGGCGACTATATTTAAAAACATTTTTTAAAGGGGTTGGTAATGTTTATCTTAAGAAAGCACTATCTGGCCGATGAACTTTCATATAAAGTCGAACAGGAAATACGAGTTTGGGTATATTTTACAAAATGCCACTAAAAAGAGTTGGTCAGAGCAATCTCTTGTAATTAGACAAAAAAAAAAATAAATGATTACGGCTTTTAAAGCAACTTTCACTCTTGTGCTCTGATTGTGGTCTCTGAATATCATTTTCCACTAAAAAAAAAAAAAAGGACTCTCAGAAAATGTCACATTACAGGCAAAGGCAGGAAATGTGTAAAATAAGTGGACTACCTTGTCATAACGAAAGGACTTGGGAGCCAACTTAAGTTCTCACTGTAAGCAGTACAACAGCTTGAAGATCATGAAGTCACACTGGCACTAAAAAAACCCAAAAACTAAACTCTGAAACATCAAAGATACTTTTGGAGGATGCTAGGAATCAATTCACTTTTTCAAAATCGGTAAATACAAAATAATAAAGTATTTATCTTGCCTCTGCTATATGATTTTACCTCAGGGCAGTAATCTATTGATATGGGAAATGTCTCTCTATATAAGCATCTTTATTATTAAATGAAGAATTAGAATATCATAATTTTTTAAACCCCTAATAAATCAGGAGATGTAAGCCAGGGTTTCTTGATCTCAGCAATACTGACAGTTTGGGCCAGATCATTTTTTTGTTGGGGGGAAGAGGAGCTGTCTCCTGTATGATAAGATGTTTAGCAACAACCTTTGCCTCTACCTACTAGACATCAAAGGCACCTCTCCAGCGTTAAACAAAATGTCTCCAGACATTGGCAAATGTTCCCTGAATGGCAAAATTGTCCCTAGTTGAGAATCACTGATTGAGACAATCATCAAGATTGATAACATAAAAAAAAGGAGGGACAACTAGACACTATGTAGGTACCTCCTTAAGAAAGTACACAATACCATCTATAAAGTCTTAAAAACAAAACGACGTAAATCTCATTAAACCTCAGTCTCTGTATCAAAACAATTTACAGTAAATACAACAGACAAAGGAACATGTTAAAGACATCAGAAAGATGCAATCAGTAAAATTCACAGTATAGTAAACTCTTCAGAATAAAAAACATGGTTTAAAAAAAAAACAATTGTAAGAAGAGGTAGTATGTACTAAAATATTGACTTCTAACGCTGTGTTTGAGATTTGCTCCAAAATATCTGAGATCTATGTGTCTCACCATTGACAACAATATATAGGAAACATGGCTGGACAGCTGAAGCTGGGTGATAGGAGGTTTGTTACATTTTTTCTACTTTTGTACATCTTAAAAACTTTATAATAAAAAAATCAAATCCTTCATGTAAATTTCAACTAAAAAACTAAATTAGATGGTAAATATGAGAATCATAAGCTTCCCATAAGAATTCATTATACTGTTAGGTTTAAACTTGATGGTTCTTAATATATCATAATTTATGTTAACGTTTTTTGAGAAATGGTTATTATACAAAAGCACGATTATATCAGATGATAAAACATTCAGTAAATATTTTAAATTAAGGTTTAAATCAAGTATTAAAACAATTTTTTTTCTTTTTTCTTTTTTTTGAGACGGAGTCTCACTCTGTCACCCAGGCTGGAGTGTAGTGGTACAATATCGGCTCACTGCAAACTCCGCCTCCCGGGTTTAAGGGAGTCTCCTGCCTCAGTTTCCCAAGTGGCTGAGACTACAGGCTTTTTGTATTTTTAGTAGAAGCTGGGTTTCACCGTGTTAGCCAGGATGGTCTTGATCTCCTGACCTCATGATCTGCCCACCTTGGCCTCCCAAAGTGCTAAGATTACAGGTGTGAGCCACCATGCCCGGCCATATTAAAACAATTGTTATCCAGCATGCTGAGATACAGAAAAGGGGGGAAAATCCCATAATGCATTTATAACCCATAGGTTTGAGAACAATTCATGGTACAACATTCCAGGAACTCCTTTATCATTGTCACAAAAGGCCAAGACAAATGTTATGCTAGTCTCAAACCTCGCACTCCTGACCTCAAGTGATCTGCCTGCCTTGGCCTCCCAAAGTGCTGGGATTACAGGTGTGAGCCACCAGGCTCAGGCTCAGTTAAAGTAACATTTGTTGGAAGTTTTCTGCAGTATCTGAAAAAGTATGCTGGTTTATTAGAGACTAATAAACTGATTATTACTATTTCTGTGTACCTCTACCAAAAAGGTGGCTACTCAAAAAAAGGATCTATTAACTAGGCCGTGGTACCAAGGCTTCCATGGTGGGCATGTCCTTTAAAGTATTATTACTAAGATTTCCTCCAGTAACAGGAATGCTTAAAAAGCTGAGATGATGGCAAGCTCAAGGAAATTTTAGGGGTTCCTGCCATCTTGCCTGTTTCAGTCAGAGCAACTTCACTTTAACCAATAAAGTGTACATTTATAAATGTTGGGATTCCATGCAATTTCAGTTTAATAATAAAAAACAAAGCTGATGTAAAAATAACTTTAAAAAACCATATTCATAGCAGTAGAAAATATTCATACCTATACAAGGCTTAACATGCTGAAAGCAAGCTTTTGTGAGGTCACCTAACAGGGCAAAAGAACTCTGTCGAACTTCTGGCATTTTATCCTACAAGAAATAAGAAGAAATTAACCCCAATGTGACACAGAGAAACAGGCTTCAATTTATTTTCACCTTTCAAGTCTCACCTGCATACACTGATACATTAGTGTTAGGATGTTACTTCGGGCAACCAGCTGTTCAATGTTGCCTCCAAGTCCTTCAGCCAGGCCACTCAGTAAATCAAGAGCCACTATCATAAAATCTTTATCTGGAGCTTCATATTGATCTGGTTGAGCATTGTTTAGCTGAAATTAGACACAATGTTTTTTGTAAGTTTGTTTTAAATTAACTACTGAAAAAGTTTGTATACATTATGCCTATTTTTGGAAAAATGTCCACCATGTCAAGAAGGGAAAGACATTTTAAAAAAATTACCATGGCTTGTGCAAGAGTCTTCTGTACTAGGTTTACACAACGCTGATACACAGGTTCACAGTACGGAAGGAAGCCAGACTGCAGTGCTGTGGCAACTGAAGATAGGCACTAGGAAGAATAAAGTACACATGCTAAATTTTCTGGTTACACAGAAGATTATGATGAATGCTTTAAACTGTGCTCAACAGAATCCTGGTCATTTACGAGCTTGCTCTACTAGTTTCTACAGTAGCAGGTGTTTTTTGGTTTTTTTTTTTTTTCCCCAAACATCTCTTTTGGAAGCTATTCATTGCTGTTAGTTTGTGAGCCAATCAGGTCAGGTTTACTCAGAGGAAGAGTTTCTACAAGAAACATTATCCTTCAAGGACAGATTGAGTATTATGCGTTCATATTTTTCCCTCAAATTGAAGAGATTCATTTCATGCTCCCATCATGGTCAATGTTGTGGATGGACTTTACTGGGCACATCTGAGATCCCACCGGAAAGTAACATACATACAGTTGGCCCTCCGTATCTATGGATTCAACCAATCTTGAATCAAAAGTATTTAGAAAAAAATTAAAATGATTTAAAGTATATTGGGAAGAGATGCACAGGCCACATGCAAATACTACACCATTTTATATAAGGGACTTGAGTATTGCTGGATTTTGGTATCCACAGGCAGTCCTGGAAACAATCCCCTGAGGATACTGAGGAACGACTGCATACAAAAAACGAACCATAATGATTCTTCTTGTTTTGTTGGGCCCAGAATTAGTTGTTGCTCATGGTCATAAAAAATTTTAGCCCAGAATTAGTCGTTGCTCATGGTCATAAAAAATTTAACTTCTCTGGCTAAAGAAATCCACAGTAGAAGTTGGTGAACTTCTAAGTTTCATTGACTACATTTCATAGTGTGTTCAGTTACTACAACATCATATACAAGTTTGCAATGGAAGGGGTGTTACAAAAAAGTAAGTACGCATGGAAACATTTTCAAATTAGAAAATAAAGTACCTCCTTACTGGCACCAAATCCTACTACTTCACATATATCTATGAGTGAAAAGATATATATATATACACCCTGGTATATATATCCTCCCAGTATGTTATCTACTGTCTATACAGAGTAGATAACATAAGAGAACTTAAAACTATAATTTATTATCAATTAAGTAAAGCAGGTTAGAAAACAACATGTATAATTTCCTTCGTCTACTTCAGAATATAAATTTATTAACACTTTTCTTATCACATATACCCATTTTGGATTTTAACATGTGTTCTTGACAACAGATTAAATATTACTAGCCCTGCATACCTCAAGTAAAGGGAAGAGATCTTTATCTTCATCCTTTAACATGTTCCATTTCTGGATCAGTGGAGGCATTAGCATCTGAATATATTCCTATTTACAATGATGAAAAACATATAAACTTCCACTATCACATGTAAACAAGACCACTGAGTCTTTGAAAATTAAAATCCATTTTAAGCAATTGTGTAAAATCATTACAAAAGGCATTTTAAGAATCATTCCTCAGTTCTGCACACTCCCTTTTAAAGTTTTCCTTTCTTTTGCCTACCTTTATACTTACATCACCATGTTCTAGTTTTAGATCTAGAACTAGATCTACTAATCTAGATCACTAGAACTAGTGATCTACTAATCTTTTATCCTTGCTGAAAAAGAAAAGTCTATCAACACACAGCTAATCAAAATCTATTACTTAAAAAAATCACAATCAAGGAAGATCTAAGTTTTTCTTTTAAGTTACAGAACATTTTTATTTCTGCGGCTGGGCATGGTGGCTCACACCTGTAATTCCAGCACTTTGGGAGGCCGAGGCAGGCAGATCACTTGAACCCAGGAGTTTGGGCCAGCCTGGGCAACATGGCAAAACCCTATCTCTACAAAACATTGGCCACGAATGGTGGTACCCGCCTGTGGTCTCAGCTACATGGGAGGCTAAAATGGGAGGATCGCTTGAGCCCAGGAGGTGGAGGTTGCAATGAGCTATGATCACACCACTGCACTCTAGCCTAGGTGACAGAGTGAGACCTTGTCACACACACACACACAAAAAAAAAAAAAAAAAAAAAAGAAAGAAAGAAAGAAAAATAAATTCTTTTTAGTCCTGGAACTGTAACATGTAATATGGCTGTTACTATACAGTACATTTTAAAATCAAGAGGTAAACTTATATAGATGCATTTGTAGAAAAACAGACTTAAAATCATTTAAGTGTCAAACTAAAGAATGATCCATAAAACGAATAAACAGTTATCATGTAAACAGGGGCACAGATTCTAAAGACATTCAGAAAACCACCACAAAACCAAACCAAACAACCAACAGCAAAGCAAACCTACAAACTGCCCTGTACCAAATTTTAAGTATAACCTAAAAATAAAACAATTTCTTAAGACTTTTGATATAGCAATCATATAGAAGTCTATTCAGCAGGGTATGTGGAGCTATATTAAAATTCTACTATCACTTAAACCCTCATTAGACAAATCCATCCTCCTCTTAACACTACTGGAAACAAGGCACTTTTGCATTATTATTTAGCATTTTTAAACCTATTACCCCAATTTCTAATTGTTTTATACAGTATACTCCCCATACCTGTTGAGAAAACAAAGATGTCTAGATATCATACTCTAAAGCTACAGTGTTTATGAAGCAGGAGATTCAAAACCACTAGAAAAAAGCAGATATCTAGATTCTAAAAACTTTTTTATCCCTTTGCTTTAGTTATTCTAAGTAGCATCAGAGCATTCATGTGAAATGCTGTTGTAGTTTCCACACCAAGTATATACTTAAAGAATACCATATGAAAGGGGATATACTTGCTGCCTTTGTAAGATCTATACTCCTAAAGTAGCAAATGCTACCTATTCACATCTCCCAAAACATCTTAATTTCCAAATATACGCTAACCTATTGATTGTAACTATGCTACACATTATTTTCCATAATAGTTCTTAACAGATACTTACTGGTTTGTTTAAATGATGTCCTACTGAATCTGCTAATGTTCCTATGGCATCATAAAGAATGAGCAGGTTCTTATGCTGGTATTTACTAAATGCAAAAACCAGAGTATCAAGTATATAAGCAAGGTAAGGAACAAGTTCTGTACAAGCCTCCTCTTCTAAGGTAGCAAAGGCACTGTTTAAAAAAAAAAAAAAGAGTACTTATTGACTGCAAGACATATCTAACTCCTAATTTCTAAAATGTTTATGTTCTGTTTTAACCAATCAGAAATTTCCTAAAATGGTCTAAACCATCTGTTAATGAAAGCCCTGGTCATCAGCACTGCGAATTATTTACCCATTTCTTCTATAGCACTTGCTATAAATGATAATTATGTTGTTGCTTTGTATCTCCTACTAGCCTGTATGCCTCAAGATGGCAGAGACTGTAAACTCAGCACTTAGTATATGCTTAACAATTAATAGCTTAAAAAAACCCAAACACCAGGTACTGAATGAATAAACTATAGGATCTCAAACATAATCTATATCCTCCCTCCCTTAAAATTATTTAGTGCTGTATTAATCACTATAGCCCCCCGTTCAACTTTCTTTCATCTCACTAAGAATATCTTCCAGATATGACTGCTTCAGATGGATTAAGGTCAAACTCAGATTTACTTTCCTTGCCAGGTGTGGTGGCTCAGGCCTGCAATCCCAGCACTTTGGGAGGCCAAGATGGGTGGATCGCTTGAGGTCAGGAGTTCAAGACCAGCCTGGCCAATATGGCAAAACCCCATTTCTACTAAAAATACAAAAATCAGCTGGGCATGGTATCGCACACCTGTTGTCCCAGCTACTCAGGAGGCAGAGGCAGGAGAATCGCTTGAACCCGGGAGGCGGAGATTGCAGTAAGCCAAGATCGTACCACTGCACTCTAGCCTGGGCGACAGAGCGAGACTCCATCTAAAAAAAATAAAATGAAATTTTACTTTCCTTTGTTCAACAGTTTTTCTTCCTACTATCAAGGTCAACGGTAAAAGCAAATCTACTCAAAAAAGTAAGAACTATAAACATAAGCACAAGGCCCTTTTAAAATATAAAGGTTTGTTCCAGGAAACTGGAATATTTGCAGTAATAATAGCAACTGCTGCTTTGATATGAAGAGACAGCCTCCAAAGCAACCAATAGAATGGCTACTGGAGCAGAACTACTAAGCACTCAAGACCTGTAACTGGTAAGTAACAGACCACAGGTCCCTGTGGGACTTTCTAAGTTACAGAGGTTGACCTGTAGTCTAAAGATGTCAGTCTGCTCAAACTTTGTTATTCCTTCAAGAGTAGAAGTCCTGTCATCACTACTTCAGATGTTTGAGAGAATCAGGGTGTAAGATAATTCTGTTATAATAACCACTGAGTGGGAAAAATGAGCCAAGGAAGAAACAGCTAAGATCGATGTTGTCACATTTAGATCTACAAAATCATCAGGTAAAACCCGTATGACAAAATTCTCCTGGCCAAACAAAATGTATAAAATATGCTAAAACGCAAACCCAAAAGCTACAGATCCTGCAAAAAACTTCACCAAGAAGAAAAAAGAAAACTAAGCTTTCCGATGTAACTGGAAAATTTTCAATTACAAAACACTTCATTAAAGGTTTAACACCAACACTCCATCAGAAGGTTGAAAATTAGTTTTTCACTCCCACAAAGAACACTGTGTTATGAATCTGTCCCACCTGCAGGCAGCTTCTTGTACTCTCTTGTTGCTATCCAGGATGCGCTTTAGCAATTCTGTCATTAATGGCTTCAGGTACGTGTCTGGTGGCTGGCTGACTACCCAGTGTGCATAGCGGCTAAGAGTCCAGCATGTTATGGAACGCACAAGAGCCTTTTTATCAGAGAGGCACTGAATAAGGTGAGGAATAAGCTCAGGCAAGTATGGAATCATGCCCTGCATGCAACCTAGAAAAAAAATAAATCTTTCAAAATGCTAAGATTTGGTTATTATTATTTTGGTTGATCGTGAAAATAAAACATGTATCTATGAAAAAATCCAGAATATTTCTACTGCTATAAATATACTACAATAACCTATACCAAATTTTTAAAACCCTGAAGTTAGAGCTACCCGCTCCCAAGCATCTTATAATAGGGTTAGGACCTCATTTTATCTCTGCTACACAAATTATAGCTTTCAGAAATGCCTACTAACGTGTTTCAATTTCTTCCAATAGATGTTTACTGCCAGGACAGAATCAATAATAACCCTTCATAGAGAATGATGACAGTCTTGCCTTATTGTGTTTCCTAGATTTACCTAAGAAATCAAGGGTTTTTTTTTTTTTTAAAGCAATGGGGATGCTTCAGACATCAGAGCCTTTCATTCTGTTCCCTTAATTTTTTTTGTTATTTTTTTATTGAGATGGGGTCTTGCTCTGTTGCCCAGGCTGGAGTGCAATGGTACCATCTCAGCTCACTGCAACTGCCACTTCCCAGGTTCAAGCGATTCTCCTGCCTCAGCCTCCCAAGTAGCTGGGACTACAGGCGCGTGCCACCACACCCAGCTAATTTTTGTATTTTTAGTAGAGACGTGGTTTCACCATGTTGGCCAGGCTGGTCTCGAACCCACCTCAGGTGATCCACCCACCTAGGCCTCCCAAAGTGCTGGAATTACAGGTGTGAGACAACATGCCTGGCCTCTGTTACCTTTATTATAACAAAAACATTTTTCAAAATAGCTGGCTAGGGTTGGAAGCCAGCATATGGCTGTTTAATACCAGTTATCTGCTTCAAAACAGAAATTCCTTAAAGTAGCCTAGCCTTATTAGTACCTAATAGTAGTTAGAAGCCAACTTACATAATTCAAACTGGACTTAGACTTACCTTCAGCAATTGCTCCTAAAACCAAGATGCCTGATTCTTTAACAACCCATTCATGATGAAAAAGTAATTCTTTCAAAAGGGGCAAAATATGTGGCAGCAGCTCATCACGATACACATTTGCAAGAACATCTAGGGCAGCAGCAGAACATTTTCCTAAGGAAATATTTAATTCAAAAATATTACATTAACCTCTTATTATATATTAAAATATTTACTGTATATGTAACTGTTTATTCATATCTCTAATACAGAGTTTTAAAGTAAGAATTCAATTGAATAGGAGGTAGCCTGTCACATGAAAACATTTTGTTTGTTTGTTTTGTTTTTTTTTTGAGACGGAGTCTCGCTCTGTCGCCCAGGCTGGAGTGCAGTGGCCGGATCTCAGCTCACTGCAAGCTCCGCCTCCCGGGTTTACGCCATTCTCCTGCCTCAGCCTCCCAAGTAGCTGGGACTACAGGCACCTGCCACCACGCTCGGCTAGTTTTTTGTATTTTTTAGTAGAGACGGGGTTTCACTGTGTTAGCCAGGATGGTCTCGATCTCCTGACCTCGTGATCCGCCCGTCTCGGCCTCCCAAAGTGCTGGGATTACAGGCTTGAGCCACCGCGCCCGGCCCTTTTTTTTTTTTTTTGAGACAGAGTCTTGCTCTGCTGCCCAGGTTGGAGTGCAGCGGCACGTTCTCGGCTCACTGCAAGATCCGCCTCCCAGGTTCAAATGATTCTTCCACCTTAGTCTCCTGAGTAGATGGGATTACAGGTGTATGCCACAACGCCCAGCTGATTTTTGTATTTTTAGTAGAGACGAGGTTTCACCATGTTGGCCAGGATGGTCTCTAACTCCTGACCTCGTGATCCGCCCACCTTGGCCTCCCAAAGTGCTGGGATTACAGGTGTGAGCCACCATGCCCGGTCAAAAACATTTTCTATTAAGATGAATATTTTTTATGACAAGAACTTACTTGGCAAATTAATTGTGAAGACATTGTATTCTGTACATAACTATCATACTAGAATTCTGCCTATACAGAAAAACTAAAACAAATACTGTGCCACTCAAGTCAATGCTTCTAATATAACCACTCAATACGATATAATCGTATTACAATCATGATTACAATCAATGTTACAATCATGCAAAAAACATATATTATTAATTCTACTTAACATTTCCAGCGGTAAATCATCTATAATTAAATACGCAATTACTTAGCTAGAATTTAGACACAAAAATTGGAACAAAAGTCACTGGCACATGAAACATAAAACATGCTAGAAAATACTCTTTACAGACAAAGAATTAACTATGGGACTATAAATCAACCCAGATTTTATTATCATAATAATTTAGACAAGAGCAACAAAATCGAAAAATATCATTTAACTGTTATGGGTAGGAACATGTTCCTGAAAGTTCATGTGCTGGAAACCTAATCCCTAAAGCAACAAAGATGGGAGATATGGCCTAATAAGAGATGAATAGGTCTTAAGGGTTCTGCCCTCATAAATGGTTTAATGTTGTTATTGTAGGAGTGGGTTAGCTATCAAGAGAGCTGGCTTATTATAAGTGTGAATTGAGCTCTCTCTTATGTGTGTCTTTCTGTCATCAGCTGTTGCAAGAAAGTTCTCACCAGATGCAGCCCCTCCACTCTGAACTTCAGGTATCCTGTTATAGTAGCACAGAATGTACTAAGAAAATATCAAAAATTTCAAAAATCAAAATAAAAAAAAATCAAAAACTAGGCATAGCAAATGATGAATCACAAACTACTAGACAATAACAAAATCCTTAAAAAAAACAAAAAAAAAACAAAAAAAAACAAAACCATTACATTGGCCAGAAATTAACACCTTACCTATCAATAAGGATCTTAGTTATACCACATGGTAGATCCATACAACTAAACAGTACACTGACATGCAACAAAAGGAAATCTAAATCTGTATGTACTGATGAAGAATGAGGCATATGATATACAGAAAGAAAGCAGCAGAGTACATATAATCTGATTTCACTTTTAGAAATTTGGCTTCTCCTCTAGTTATCTGTGTAATGATCTTGAGCCATCCAGCTCCCCCAGTCTGAAAGTAGGGATACACTGGGAGATAATCTGTAATAGCAGTGAACACCATGGGCTGTCGTAACAAGTGAGACTCGGGTACCAATACTAGATGTGCTATCAGTACTAGCTATGCTAACCTTGGGTAAATTTCTCTTTCTGCAGTTTTCTTACCTATTCAAGGTTGTTGGAAATCTTAAATATAAATATGACTTTATTCTTACTTATGATTAAGTAAGACTTTCATATGCATGTAAAGTCCTTGGCCTAGTGCCTGGCACATTAGGCACTCTAAATAGAATGTTAGCTATAGGAAGCTGAAGAGGCAACAGAGGAATCAGCATTATCTAACCAAACGAATGACACAGCCCAGACTAATAATGTCTGTCCTTAACTGCTTTATTCATAGTTATTAGAAAGCCCAACACTTTGAACTAGAGTAGGGGCTCTAAACTGGGGGCGATTTTGCTCCCCCAGGGGATCTCTAGCAATGCCTGGAGGCATTGCTGGTTGTCACAACTGTGTTTGTGCTGCTGGCATCTTTGGGTACAGGCCAGGGATGCTGCTTAACATCCCAAAATGTGCAGGACAGTCCCCACAACAAAGAATTACGTGCATGATGTGGCATTCACATGTAGGAAAAAAAAAAAAAAAAACTTATGTGGCCCAAAATGCCAATAGTGCCAAGGCTGAGAAACCCTGAACTAGAGCAGTAGAGGTTTAAAAACCAGCAAGCAAGCAAGCAAGCAAGCAAGATCAGAACACAGGTGTTTAGGTTCATCCCCAATTAGGAAGTGTGGGCCAGAATGCTAGCTCCACAGGTGATGTGATTTGCAGCTAAGGTTGGAAATTAACATATTTTAAAAAGCATATTTCATAAGTTTTGAACATAACAACTTATATTATTTTAGAATTACCTATGATAGCCAATTCTCATGCAAATTACCACACAAAAAACACTCATGTTAGAAAAACCAAAAAAGCTTGTGGTAATGTTCTTACAGTATTAAAACAGCCTTTTGAGAAACGGTAGTTTAAGAATACAATAATGATAAAATAAGAGCAGGCCCACCAGGAAAATGCAAACCAAAACCACAAAATACTACCTCACATCCACTGGAATGACTATAATAATAAAGAGATAATAATAAGGCAAGTGAGCATGTGAAGAAACTGGAACCCTCCAGACAACGGTGCTAGGAAAGCAGAATGGTGCAGTCACTTTGGAAAACATCAATTTCTCAAAAAGTTATTTCTCAAAAGGTTAAATATACGGTTACCATATGACCCCAACAATCCTTCTCCAGAGTGTTTACCCAAGAGAACTGAATACATGTTGGGCCAGACACAGGGGCTCACGCCTGTAATCCTAACACTTTGGGAGGGCAAGGTGGGTGGATCGTTTGAACCCAACAGTTCAAGACCAGCCTGGGCAACATGGCAAAACTGTCTCTACCAGAAAACAAACAAACAAACAAAAAACATACAAAAAAAATCAGCCAGGTGTACTGGTGCACACCTGTAGTCCCAGCTACCTGCGGAGCTGAGGTGGGAGGATCACCAGAGCCCGGGGAGATCAAGGCTGCAGTGGGCCATGACTGTGCCATTGCATAATCACACCAGCCTGGGTGACAAGAGACCCTGTCTCAAACAAAAAAAAAAGCCTACACACAAAAATGGTACATGAGTATTTATAGCATCACAATTCAACAGCCACAAAAAGGGAAACACAAATATCCACCAACCAATGAATGGATAACTAATATGTGGCATATTACTACAATGAAATATTATTTCATAATACAAGTGAATGCCACAACATGAACTGTGAAAACTTTATGCTAAGTCAAAGAAGATGGTCACAAAGGACAATGCATTGTATGACTCCATTTACACAGAATGTCTAGAATAGGCAAACCCAGAGACAGAATATTGACTAGTAGTTGCCCAGAGCCAGTAAACAATAGGGAGTTACTGCTGAAGGGTATGGGTGATGAAAACATTCTACAACTGATTGTGGTAATGGTTGAACAGTTCTCTGAATATACTAAAAACCAATGAATTGTATACTTTAATGGGTAGTAAATTGGACAGATGAATTATACCCCAATAAAGTTGTTACCACAGCAGGCAACTGTGCTTTTCCCTTTCTGACTTACTTAGATTCCAGTCAGAAATTGTATCATCATCATCAATTTCATCATCATCATCATCTTCCTCTTCAATTCCATCTTCATCATGCTGCTGAGCCACCGTCCTTGATCGGTGAAAACGTGGCCGTATATCCTGTTCGCTATCAGGAATCGTTTCATCTTCTTCAACATCACCCTGTTGTTTTTTTTAAGATAAATTTTTGGTGGCATTCATTATAGGCTAATAACATGTACATGAGTAAGAGAAACAGAATATCCAGAGATGGGGTCATGCACAGGATTCTGAAGTATACTTCCAGAGTGATTAAGAACCACGCCCATGTACAGAACATATTCCTTATGGAGGGGCAAACAGACTGACATAACACACCTGTTAGGTTATATGGCCCTTTCAGCCAACTACATGGCCTCCATTGGCTGGTATAATCTAAGTGTACCTGAATCAAATTCAGAGCAGCATATATAAGAATATTTTTAAAATAACTCCAAGTAATTAAGGGGAAATTAATAATAACCCTACCAATGTCACCATCTAGTACCAAATTAAGCAAGAATTTATCATTACTCAAACTTATGCTTCTAACTTTAAACTTCTATAACCTATTATAGACAATAGGAAGTCTATTTACTGGAGATCTATTCTCAATGAATGTTTTATTGGCCAAATTCAAAGATGTACTAAATCAATATAAAAATCATGTTCCCTATTCATCAAAAAAACCTTCCTTACCTTAAGTAGGATAATATCTATATCTGAGTACTTCATGCCATTCACTAACACAGGAATCAACCTATAAAGAAAGAAATTCATGAAACAAAATCCTAAAGATCTCAACAGAATAATTAGTAAGTCTTAACCTTATGTGTACTAATAAAACCAACGAGATAATTAACGGTAATATTGTCTTTGAACTTATTCAGTGATATATATCTGCTCTCATTAACTGAAGAAATGCTAATAGAGAAAAGGAAGCAGTGAAATACAAAATCCCCTGGATAGGTTTAAGAAATGTGGGCCAGTCAAACTTTCACGCTCAAAGTCCTTCTAAATTCGAAAATAGAAAGATTAGTAGTAAACATTATAGTTAGCATAATTTAACTAGGTAAGACTTACAATACGTAGAACTATATTTTGTAAGCTACAGGCATTTTGCAGGAGAAACAGGTGTATCTGGATCACTAACAGTTAATCACTGATGATCTTTGTCAACAATTTCAGAGAAATGGTGAGGACAGACATCAGAATGTAAGATAATGAAGAGTTAACAAGATGTGGGTTAAAGAAGTGAAGACAGTAAGTCCCACTCAAAAAAAGTTTGAGTTGTTTTTTTGAAGACAGAAAAAACTGCAGCAAGTTATAGAGTTATGGAAAATGAGGCAACAGGGAGAAGCTAGGAGTGAGTATTTATCTGGTACGGTGAGGTCTCTGGGGATATGAAAAATTTATACTATACGGACTTTAAGTTTGGTTAGGAGACGACAACTCATATGAAAATATTATCTGTAAGTTTTGGGGCAAGATAATGGGTCACCTGCTTTCTTTATAAGCATTAAGAGCTCAAAGTGCATTAAGAGAACATCAAAAGAGTGACAAAGGTTTCAAATAGTTGCTCTGGTGACTAAAAGATAAAAGCTGATCTGGAACATGAATTAGCAGATTGTGAAGGGTCCACTTGCGGTTGATGACCACAGATTTCTATAGCCAACAATCCCCCTGGGGGAGTGTAATTTTCCCCAAAGGCATTCAACAACCTGGTTAAAGAAAAGAGTTCACAGTTCAATTAGTCTAGAGTAAGGTAGACAGAAGTTTCGCGTTAGTAGGGTTTATTCATGGCTCTGATGTTTGTCACATAAAGAGAATAAAAATAACAGATTAGGTCGAGGCAAACGGATCACAAGGTCAGGAGTTTGAGACCAGCCTGGTCAACATAGTGAAACCCAGTCTCTACTAAAAATACAAAAATTAGCCAGACATGGCGCGCGCCTGTAGTGCCAGCTACTCGGGAGGCTGAGGCAGGAGAATCGCTTGAACCTGGGTGGTGGAGGTTGTAGTGAGCTGAGATCACGCCACTGCACTCCAGCCTGGGCAACAGAGCGAGACTCCATCTCAAAATAATAATAACAAAAAAGAATCAGATTAGAACACAAAGAGGTCAAGGGCCTTGGAATGGGGTGGCAGATGGGCCTAGCAAGGTTTGCAAGAAATAAAGGACTGGCTGGTAAGGCTGGGCAAATAAGAAAAAATTAGGCCAGAAAATAAGACACGGAAATTAACTGTGACCACGTGGCAATCTGGCATGTGCCTGGCAATCATGCTAGGCAAATTATTATTTTTGAACAGGTCTAATTGTGAAGATTTCTCCTGAAGTCCCCATGTAGCCATTAAAAACAATATATATATATATACATATATATATTTTTTTGAGATGGAGTCTTGCTCGTCACCCAGGCTGGAGTATAATGGCATGATCTTGGCTCACAGCAACCTCTGCTTCCTGGGTTCAGGCTATTCTCCTGCCTCAGCCTCCCAAGTAGCTGAGACTACAAGCACGCACCACCAAGCCTGGCTAATTTTTTATATTTTTAGTAGAGATGGGGTTTCACTATGTTGGCCAAGCTGGTCTTGAACTCCTAACCTCAGGTGATCCACCTGCCTTCGACTCCCAAAGTGCTGGGATTACAGGTGTGAGCCATTGCACCCAGTCAAAAAACGAGTTTTTTAATGCAACATCACATAAAGGTAGTAATATAGATAATAAATGTTTACTGACTACTTAAATATGGCCTGAGCACTGGGTTGTTTTACAAGGAAAAGCCACACAACAGTCCTATAAGACATTAATGTACAAGAATAAAGGTGGGAAAAAGCCAAAACAATTTTGTAAAAACAAGAGAAATCAAGAGCTGCTATACCAGATTACAAAATACATTAATGTTCAATAATATAGTACTAGTTAAAAAAAATAGAACAGACTATATAGCCCAGAATGATAATAGAACTTAATATCCTCCCTGTTACATTGGTGCATTTTTTTTCTGAGACAGTGTTTCACTCTGTTGCCCAGGCTGGAGTGCAGTGGGCAATGGCTCACTGCAGCTTCTGCCTCCTGGGTTCAAGCGACTCTCCTGCCTCAGCCACCCAAGTAGCTGGGATTACAGGCATGTGCTGCCATGCCCAGCTAATTTTTGTATTTTTGGTAGAGACAGGGTTTCACCATGTTGCCCAGGCTAGTCTTGAACTCCTGAGCTCAAGCCATCTGCCCGTCTCTTGCTCCCAAAGTGCTGGGGTTACAGGCATTGAGTTACTGTGCCCAGCCTACAATGGCGCTTTCTAAATGAGTTTTTATTTATGAGCGATCTTGTAACACATAACAATTTTAATTCCTATGCAAACGCTTTTTGCTCGTATTACACTAAGCAAGTGTGGTTAACAACTAGGAAAAACAAGTTATTTCATTGTGCATCAGACTGATGATGATATTCTGCTATCCTGTCAATACATTAACTAAAACAATAAAAACAGCTGTGTTTTATATATAAAAATGGCTCCCACCGGGTGCAGTGATCCATGGCTGTAATCCCGATGCTTTGGGAGGCCAAGAAGTATGGATTGCTTGAGGCCAGAGGATCAAGACCAGCTTGGGCAATACAGTGAGACCTCCTCTTACAGTAGTAGGGAAGACATAAGTCAAACTCAGTCATGACTGGCTTGAGTTGTTTAATGTTGGCACTAATTAGTACAGCAAAATGGGTGGTGCTGAACTTTTAATTTCCTGCTTGTTTTAGGAATATTTGGATTATATTAGTGCAGTAATAGAGTTAAGAGTACCTAGTTGTAATTCCGCATTTTCAACATCATCTCTAAAGTTATAGCCTAGGTTTTCATTAATAAAATCTCTGGAGTGAAGCACCTGCTGCTGAAATTTGGGGGCAAATAACTGGAGTCTGGTGGGAATAGGAGTTCTAAAAAAGTATGTCTGGAAGGCTGTGGCCCAAGGCCTTTCCTGCTGGCTAAAAGCAGGGCCTCCAGAACCAAAGGAAACACACAGCTCTTCTTAAAATTGAAGATGTTTATGCATGAGGTGAAACAGAATTCTCTTTGGGCAAGAGATGGGCTTATGTATATAAAACAAAGAAAAACACAGAGATTCCTGGTGGCAAACCAAACAAAGCCAGAGTAATCTGGGCCCATGGAAACAGTGCCATGGTTCATGCCAAATTTCAAAGCAATCTTCCTGTTGAGGCCATTGGACACAAAATCTGAGTGATGCTGTACCCCTCAAGGATTTAAACTAATGAAAAGTCAATAAATAAAAGTGGATTTCTGCTCTTGAAAAAAAGAAAATTTCTGCAGTTTTTATAAAAATTATTATCTATGACTTTTAGAATTATATGACCCTACAGAAACCCAAACGTATCATTAAAGTGGTATTACAAAGTAAAGAGGAAAGGAAAATAATAGATTTCCTAAAGAGAAAAAAATCCAGTCAGTGTATTTGGAGAGTAAGGTTAAAGCAAGATATGACGTGCCTTGCTTAAAATTTAATTTAATTAAAATTAAACGCCACATCTTGCTTAACCTCACCCTCCAAATAAAGTGACTTTATTGTTGCTTTCTTGATGGAAAGAAAAAACTCAGTTGACCATAGGACAATAAGAACATTCAAGTACCATAAATATCTGAAAAAGAAAAAAAAGAAACAAAAACTCTTTACTATTAAGACATATTAAAATAATTTTTTTTTCTTATCCAGATGACTAAGATTTGAGACATTAAAATTCGTGGCTGCCAAAGTTGTGATAGACACACAGTGGTGCATGCAGTTCTATAAATTTCCTAGAGAACTATTCGGAATATTGTGAAAAATCATTAAAATGCTCATATACTTTGACTCTGGGGAAAAAAATCACTCCTAGTAATCACAACAAAAAGGAATAACCTTTTATTGACAAAGAAAGATATTCACTCCAGGATTATTTATGAGGGGGGAAAAAAAGCCAAAACAACCTAAATATTCAATGGCAGAGAACAGTCTTTCTCTCTCTATACTATACACATATACAATCGTCAATTATGTAAATATGGTTATGTATACTATGATGGAATAGCATACCTCCACTGAAGTTTTAAAGACTAATGACATGGAGGAAAGCACACAGCATATAACAACTGAAAAGAACAAACCATTAAATAGTATATTTAAAATTTTAAGCACTAACTACAGGTGAGATGTCATGTTAATGTATTATATATAATTAAATCCAATTCCTTCTCAAACACCCTGAATACATGCTATTTAGTATATGGTACTTTCACAGAAAAGAACATTAAAAGATGACAGCAAAAATACTGCCAGTGATTACTCAGAGTGGTGAAAATGCAGAAAACATAAAATTTTCTGCAATTTAGTTTTCTCCCATGAGCTTGTATTACTTTACTTTAGAAAAAACAGGCAACCTACAGAATGGGAGAAAATTTTTGCAATCTACTCATCTGACAAAGGGCTAATATCCAGAACCTACAAAGAACTCAAATTTACAAGAAAAAAACAAACAACCCCATCAAAAAGTGGGCAAAGGATATGAACAGACATTTCTCAAAAGAAGACATTCATACAGCCAACAGACACATGAAAAAATGCTCATCATCATTGGCCATCAGAGAAATGCAAATCAAAACCACAAAGAGATACCATCTCACACCAGTTAGAATGGTGATCATTAAAAAGTCAGGAAACAACAGGTGCTGGAGAGGATGTGGAGAAATAGGAACACTTTTACACTGTTGGTGGGATTGTAAACTAGGTCAACCATTATGGAAAACAGTATGGTGATTCCTCAAGGATCTAGAACTAGAAGTACCATATGACCCAGCCATCCCATTACTGGGGATATACCCAAAGGATTATAAATCATGCTGCTATAAAGACACATGCACACGTATGTTTATTGCGGCACTATTCACAATAGCAAAGACTTGGAATCAACCCAAATGTCCGTCAGTGACAGACTGGATTAAAAAAATGTGGCACATATACACCATGGAATACTATGCAGCCATAAAAAAGGATGAGTTTGTGTCCTTTGTAGGGACATGGATGCAGCTGGAAACCATCATTCTTAGCAAACTATCACAAGAACAGAAAACCAAACACCGCATGTTTTCACTCATAGGTGGGAACTGAACAATGAGATCACTTGGACTCGGGAAGGGGAATATCACACACCGGGGCCTATCATGGGGAGGGGGGAGGGGGGAGGGATTGCATTGGGAGTTATACCTGATGTAAATGACGAGTTGATGGGTGCAGCACACCAACATGGCACAAATATACATATGTAACAAACCTGCACGTTATGCACATGTACCCTAGAGCTTAAAGTATAATAATAATAAATAAATAAATAAGTAAAAAAAAGAAAAAAAAAAGAAAAATGGGCTTAACATTAACTAAATTTTGTTGCATCACAACCAGTGGGAAATTATTTCTTGGGAAAAAAGCCTCATAAGAGTCTGTGGTTAAGTAACAAGAATTAAAAACAAAACAAAACCAAACCCAAAATACTGTGCTGTAAATTATCCAAAATCAATTATAATTTAAAATAGGCAATTGCTTTTTGAAAAATCTCTTTACTAACAATAAAATTAAGTCTGGCTTCTTTAGAATCTCACTCCCTGATGGCAAAAGAATGAATTTTATAAAAATACGAAAATGAAGAATCACTTAGAAATTAAAGAACAAGGCAGCATTTATAAGAAGCAACACTTACTTAGGAAGATGCCTTATGAGTACATCTTTGCATATTGGCTGTTCAGCTAAAGTTAGCCAAAATTCACAGGCTTCTAAAGCCACATTTTCGTCTTGATCTTGAGTCCTCTGTAGCATGTACTGGAAACACAAGATCCTTACTATTAGTTTAAATCACACAATTAATATCAATTCAGTCCCATTATCAAGCAAGCTTTTGACTTTACGGTTTTCAACCTAGGCATTTGAATTTTTTAAAAGTTTCCTAGGTGACTATAAAATACAGTTAAATTAAAGAAACACTGATTTAAAATGTTACCCAATGAAAAGTGTTCAGTGAATGTATTATGTTTCTGTGTAGTTTTTTTATGATACCACTGAGATTTTTGAAATGTGAATGTTAATCAAATATTAAGCCTTCTTAGAACATAAAAATAAAAACTAAGAACTCCATTATATATTTCTTAAAATGAAGACTCTATAAAAGAAAAAACTGTAACATTATAAATTAGGCTCCCCAGCTGTGACTAAGCAACTGATAAAATATTTCTTCACTTTAGTTAACACTAAACTTTCAATCAGTCCTGCCTGACTTTTCAAAGAAAAAATAGGCCTACCTTATGCAGCCACGTTTCCTAAAGTTTTAGAACAGGAGTTGCTGCATACCACGAATGCTAGCTTTTTAACAGATCTTAGACTACATCCTTTAAAAAAGATCCTCCCTTCTCTCTACCATATGGAACTTCGGAAGTGAAAAGGAGACTCTAGATAACATACTACTTAAAACACTTCCAAAGTTATACAGTACATACAACTATATCCAGAAATACAAAACTCCCCACAAAGATAACTCATAATTTTAAGACAATCATAATTATTTTATAGTCCCTTCCCCATCTGGTATGCTGCATTTTCTATCTAGTATTTCTCTTAGGGGAAAGATGAGGAAAGAGCCTTTAAATTGCCAGTGTTACCTCAACTATGTTATGCATGTGAGGAAGCAGGCGATCCATTCGAACTTCGAGCAACATCACAAGCGCTCGGCACACATTTTTCCGTACCTCTGGTTCTTCATCACCAGCTAATGCAAAGAGATTCTGTTGCACAAGAAATAATTTTTTCTAGTTTTAGAAAGGCTTATACACAAATAAGTAATCTGCAAGCTGGTGACATTTAAAGAAACCCTACGAAGATAACATACCAAAAAGTGACTGAATGGCCTACAATATTAGATTATAAGAATTAAATGTGAAATAGCTGACAAAGATTATGATTTTGATAAAAGATGAACAGCTATTCTTTTCTGATAGAGTACAATCAGTTGTATTTTGGGGAAATTTTTCATTTTTAAGAAACCACGTCATTAGGACATAGGACCATTTGTTTGCTCACCCAGAAGCAGAGACAAAAGACTATTCCCTACCAACCCTGATTTTTAAGGTGAGAGGTGGTAATAGATTCAAGTTCTATAAAAAGGTGATACAGATGCAATAATCAACAAATATTAATATATACTGATTTTCTAACTTAACCCTAAACTGATGTTGTTCAATAAAATTAATATTAAATATTATGCTGTTCCCTACAAGTACGTCTGTAAGGTAAAAATACAATGTCTGAATGGACAATAGGCTATTTTGTTTAATCTTCAAAACTCTTAACATGTTATTATTCAATTTTACAAATAAGGAAACACATTAATAGAAGTTAAGTAGCTTGATAACCAGCAGAAGATCTGAATCTGGCTTTCACGGAATCAGAGTTCATACTCATTTCCTTATACCAACAAGCTTCCACTAGAAGAAAAAGACATCTCTCAGAGTGGGGATGTGAAAGAAAAACACAATGAAGCCTTCCTCATGTCACACATACAGTCTTACTTTATTTACACATATGTGTATTAAAAGCAGTAAAACAAGCATTTAAAAAATAAGTAAAATCCAATGTGTCCCAACTGTCTTTTTTCAGGAAATCACAGAAATCTCTACAAAATGAACCTGAAGTCTCATTACAAGAAATTCAGAGGAGAAATTCAATGATCAAATGGGACATTATGTGAAGTACTATTGCAGCATTTTTAAAATGTTGATTTACCCAAGTCCTGCTTCCACATTTGACCCTCTCAAAACTAGGTAGTTCCTGTTTTAATCATGTGTTTTACATAGAGAAGAGCACTGTTTTCCCAGCAGGCATTGCCATTAACAGTGCATCCTCCATTAAATTTTATTAAAAGATTTCATTAATTTACTCTAGAGAACAGCAACTGGGTTGGGGGTGGAGATATCCAATGCCATCATCTTGCATTTGTCACTTTTGTTACTACTGTCAATGAATACCTAGCTTTGCCAAGGTTACACATTATAGCCATGTACTAGTAACCAACAAACTTTTCATCAATACATTAGACTTAGCAGACTTGATACCATAGAAACAATGGCAAGTGAAGAAAATTAGTTTACTTATTCACTTGGCAAATTGCTATTGAGGGCCTACTATATGTTAGAGGCACTTCCTCCAGAGGTTTACTGTTTTTGTAGGGTGGAGAATTGGCTAAATTCTGTAGGACTATCAAGTAGTAAACAAATATTAACATATTATTTAATAGTAAAGCAAAATATTTTAAAATGTTAGAAAACGCTTCTGCCTCACTTGCTGAGTACAGTCCTATGAAATTTTTATTTTCAGGGAGAATTTCATTTATTTTAGATTATATTTCCTTATAAGGTGCTTGTATGTCTATCACTGTCCCCTTTATTAAACTGTGAAAGAGTAATACAAAAGGAAACACCAGGATAATTACAACAGAAATAGCACTATTAATACTTTAATAGCTAACATGAAGTACTTGCTTACTCTGCGGCAGGTACTGTTCTAATTTACTTTTATCAACTAGGTGTATAACAATCCAAGAAGGTAGGTCAATTATTGACTCATTTTACAGACGATATAAAGAAAACATAAGTTAAATAAAGTATCTAAGGTTACAAAGCTACTAAACTGAGAAGCTGGGATTTGAACACCAATAGTCTACTCCAGACCTCTAGTATTACCCACTACATTATACTACCTCTAGACTAGACTAGATTAGACTGAAAGAAAACACCTTGTAGGCATAAAGTTTAAGTATCCCTAGTATCAAGCACAGCATCTGTTCCACAGTAGGTAGTAAGTCAGTAGAACTATTTAAGACACATTTTGGTTTTAACTTGTAAATGGTTAAAGGATCTTTATGGCTACTACTCTTAGTCTATTGGTAAAAAATGCTCAGAAAGAAGCTGGTCAATTTAAGTGACAAGAAAAAAAGTAACAAGACCTCCCCCGTCTGCCGACTCTTCCTTATAATTTCCCAACAGTAATATCAGCAGTCCGACTTCTAAGGGACTCTTAAAATTCCATTTCATGAAAATAAAAGTGAAGGTGCTTAAGGAACTTTAACAATTCTTTTAATTGTTATCAAGTAGCAGAGATTTTGAAAAGAAATTGTGGTGCTCATGGTTCCTGGCCAGAAAATTATGCTCTTTTCTTTCCACTTTTATTGGAAAGTTCAAAATGCCTTTAAGAGTCTATTTTTCCTGATGCCTCTAATTTTACAATGGAAACCAATGGAAAATATTGTCCTTGTAGTCTGTGCCTTCAGATTCTACCAATCAACTTAATTTAACCTCACCAATTTTTCACATTTCAAAAACTGCATGAGCTGAGGGACGTGGTTTCCATATGCAATGTGAACAGTATATTGAAGGAAAAATTTTTAAAGTAGTCAAGATACTAAACACCCCCCGCCACCAAAATCAGTGCTTGCATAATGATACAAGTAGAAAAATTAGTAAAAGAAGTGCTCTCTCAGCTAACAAAAATTACAATCTATCCCATATCCAGTTTTAATACTATCAGAAATCATTTAATTAAATACTGACTTTAAAATTATAAGTGATTATTTTGTTTTAAAGCAAAACTATATGCAGTTAGTATCACCTATTCTCCTCCAAAAAAAAAGTTGGGGGTTGGGGGGAGGGAGACAAGAACAAGTCTTACCTCAATAAAAGAATCAATGTGCAACATTAGAGCTTGAGTCCTACTGATGATAAACTGATTGACACATGCAACAGCGTGAGACCTAGAAACAAAGTTTAAAATTTAACATACGTTCATTGTAACTTTGTTCTATCTACAGAAAATTGGCAAAAACATTCCTCCATAAAAGTATTATGGTATATGTCTATCAATATACCCACTAAAAATAATAAGTCAAACTTCTATATCAACAAAGAAAGAATTTGAATGATATATTAAGTCCAAAATGCAAGTTGCAGGGCACCATGTATTTCTAAGCAACTGAAAAATGCTAGAAAGGACATGCGCAAATTTTTAATAGGGCATACCCCTAAAGAGTGGAGGTTGAGTGAGGGGCAGAGTTGTTTTTTAGATACCTACAGATTTAAAAATGATAGGTAAACATTCCTTTTGAAAGTAAAAATGGAGAATAGTCCATGTGTTCTGGCATATGCAATTCAATTGCTCAGCAGTTCTTATTGGCACCACCTTTAAAAATTTACTCTTAATTCAATCATTTCTCACTGCTTTCATTTCTCTCATCCAAGCCATGATCTCTGATCTCTTACCAGAGTTAGTGAAATAGGCTGTAATTGGTTTCCCAACTTCCACTGTGCCAAACCCCACTATAGCCTGTTTGACACACACAGACCACACTATACTCTCATTCAGATTGCTGCAATAAAACTTAATCTACTTTTTCTACAAAAGGTCAAACAGTAAATATTTTAAGCTTTATGTGCCACATAAACACCTTTGTCGTTTTTTTCCCTCTTAATTACAACCTCTTAAATTAAAAAATCATCCTTACCTTGCAGGTCATGGGCTAAATTTGGCTCCATGGGACATAGTTTGCTGACCACTTGCCTAGATATTCCTTTATACTGTGGCTCCTCCCTTATTCCCTAACTTCAATTCCCATCATGCTGCTACAGACCAAAGTTTCTTTCTTCTGTCACTCTAAAAAGCTGATTCCTAATTCCAGAGCCTTCTCACTTGCTGTTCTGTCTTAAACATTCTTCACCATCTTTCATAGACTCACTTCCTTACTTTGTTCAGTCTTTGTACAAATGTTTCCTTTACAGAGAACCATTTATATAAAGTATCTCTGAATCACTGTCTATCCCTGATCTCATTATTTTTCCATCATACTTATCACTGTCTGAAATTATATTACTTATTCATTATCCGTCCTGTCTCCTCTTCTGAAATATAACCTCAAGAGAACCTTTGTCTCAACCACTGTGCCAAAAACACAGTTGGTTTTTGGTTCTGCAGTTACAGCAAAGCACATAAACATTTACTAAGGTAACATTAAGTGAAAAAAGCATACTATGGGGAGCTCAACTACTTAAATGTGCAGCACAGGGTAAGCTGCTTATGCTTTAAAGTCTGTTTTTTTTCATTCTATAAAACCACCACTGGCTGGGTGCAGTGGCTCATGCCTGTAATCCTAGCACTTTGGGAGGCCGAGGCAGGTGGATCACTTGAGGTCAGGAGTTCGAGACCAGCCTGGCAAACATGGCGAAGCCCTGCCTCTACTAAAAATACAAACATTAGCCGGGCCTGGTGGTGCATGCCTGTAATCCCAGCTACTTGGGAGGCTGAGGTAAGAGGCAGGAGAATCTCTCAAACGTGGGTGGCGGAGGTTGCAGTGAGCCAAGATCGTGCCACTGCACTCCAGCCTGGGCGATGGAGTGAGACTCAGTCTCAAAAAACAAACAAACAAAAAAAACTCTGTCTCGAAAACCACCACCACCACCACCACCACCACCTACAATTCATCCATTTGTTGGAGGGATTAAACTAAATGAGCTAATATATATGTTAAGTACTTGGCATAATAAACAAATGGAAAAAAAATACAATAAAGTCTTTTACAGGGCCTTTAAATTAAGGCCCTTTTAACTTGCATTTTTTTGTGTGTGCATGTGAGGCTAAATTTAAAAGGCAGAAATTTATCCTATCACCAGCCTCCAGAGGCACCTACTACTAGCTTCCCCAAATAATTTTCAGAAACTTGGGAACAGTCAGGATTTACATTTTAAATTAAAAGTAACAGTTTGACATGCTTTCTTTAGAAGTTTAATATAGTTTCTGTACATCAGCAATGAAGAAAAAAACTAGAAAAACTTAAATGCTACCATTTACTGTAGTATCAGAAGACCAAGTGCCTGGGAATACATTTAATATAATATGCTCAAGGCCTCTAAAAAGAAAAGTATAAAACTTTATTAAAAACAAGCAATTGCCAGGCACAGTGGCTCACGCCTGTAATCCCAGCACTCTGCGAGGCCACGGTAAGGCGGATCACCTGAGGTCAGGAGTTCGACACCAGGCTGGCCAACATGATGAAACCCCATCTCTACTAAAAATAAAAAAAATTAGCTGGGAGTGATGGCATGTGCCTGTAACCCCAGCTACTTGGGAGACTGAGGCAGGAGAATCGCTCGAACCCGAGAGGTGGAGGTTGCAGTGAGCAGGGATCATGCCATTGCACCCTAGTCTGGGAGACAAGAGCAAAACTCTGTCTCAAAAAAAAAAAAAAAAAAAAGCAGCAAGCATTAGTATTGTGAAAATGACTATTTCTCCTAAATTGATCTATAGATTTAATGTTATTCCAATGTAAATTCCAAGATTTTTCATAAAACTTGACAATTCTAGAATGTATAAGGAAGAGAAAAGGCATTCCTACTGTCCTACTGTAAGCTCTAAATATCATTTCCCAGTAAAAGGAATCAGATGTAGGCCTACAGATGACAAACTTGGAATGCTATGGATATCTGTATATATAAAAATATAACTTCCTTGTATTGATTTCTGGTGATCAAAGGCAATAACAAAGGCAGAATAATTACTCACGTCACGTATTCATAATCAATACCAACTTGTTAATTAGATCTGATACCATATAAATGGCATTTGTTTGTGAAGAATGAATTTTTTTTCCAATATGATCTCTTCCTTATAGATTATAAGAAAATATTCCCCCTAGAAGCAACTGAGATATTTAGTAAACTCCGAGTAATTCTGCTAAATCATGTATATTTTCAATTCTAATTTCTCATCCCAAAAGTCTACATATTTCAGGTCAAATTCTGATTTTTAGCCTTTCTTCAACACATATTTTTATAAGGTAAAATTCTTTAAAGAAGTTGTTTTTATTTATTTATTTTTGAGATTGAATCTCACTCTGTCACCCAGGAGGGAGTGCAGTGGCGCAATGTCAGCTCACTGCAACCTCTGCCTCCTGGGTTCAAGTGATTCTCCTGCCTCAGCCTCCCAAGTAACTGGGATTACAGGTGTATGTATGCCACCATGCCAGGCTAACTTTTGTATTTTTAATAGAGGTAGGATTTTGCTATGTTGGCCAGGCTGGTCTCAAACTCTTAACCTCAGGTGATCCACTGGCCTCGGCCTCCCAAAGTGCTGGGATTACAGGTGTGAGCCACTATGCCCTGCCGTTTATGATTATTTTAAAAATTCTGCCAAATTTATATGTTGTAAAACTGTAGGCCTTATTTTCATTCCATTTTGGGACAGAATGTAAATTTAACTTATAAATAGGAGTAACGTTAAACAAAATTTTTTTCAAGTTGAGATAACCCAGAACACAATAAAAATACGGAAAAATTATCTTTATATAGTTTGAGCTGTTTGTACAACTCTTTCCTTGCTGTGTAGAAATTCACTGCAGTATGTCATAAACTTTTTTATTTTGAGACGGAGTTCTGCTCGTTTCCCACGCTGGAGTTGCAATGGCGCGATCTTGGCTCACTGCAACCTCCATCTCCTGGGTTCAAATGATTCTCCTGCCTCAGCCTCCTGATTAGCTACAATTACAGGTGCCTGCCACCATGTCCAGCTAATATTTTGTATTTTTAGTAGAAACAGGGTCTCACCATGTTGGCCAGGCTAGTCTTAACCTCCTGACCTCAGGTGATCCACCGCACCAAGCCTAAACTTTAAGTAACTATAATTTGTTAAAAAAAAGAAAAAAGCCTCAAACGCTCCAATTTTTGCTCTAAGACATACCAGAATTCAATTTGAAGCTTTAGTCATGAAACAGCAATGGAATAAAATAGAGGGCCCATTAATAGACCTACACACACATATAACTAAGCATGTAACAGAGGTGACATTTTAAACTGATGGGGAAAAGGAAGGGACTATAAAATAAATGTGACAGCAAGAAAAAGTTACCTAAATGGAAAAGACAGAATATTTCTCTCATAGCACACACCCACAAATGCCAGATACATTAAGCTCTTAAATGTCAAAGCGCCCTTAACATTTTAAACTCTTAGTAAAGACAAAAAGGGATTAAGATACTCTCTACACACATAACCGATAAAGGATGAGAATTCCTGTAAATCAATGGAGTACAAATAACCTAGTAGAAAAAAGGACAAAAGACAAGAACAAGATAAAGGCAATAAACATACAAGCTCTTCAACATCATTAATGATAGTAAAGAGTATCATCAAGACCATAATGAAACACCAAATATCTACTTGATTGGCAACACTTAAAAAATATGCTAATTGTCATGCAATGAAGTATTACAAGGGAGTCAAAACGAGCTATATTGATTCAGTACAGATGAATCTTAATGACATAATATTAAAGTTGCCTATGTCTACATTCAGTACTGTGCAGTTCTTATAATGCTAAAAACTAAGACATATAACACCCTTTGCATATGCATGCAATAAAATTATCAAGAAATGAAAGGAAAGTATGAAATTGGGGTTTAGATGTAGACTGTTGTCAAGGTCTTCATTTTGTTTCAGGTGGTGGATCTGACTGCTTATGTTATTAAAAATAACTAATATATAACTAAAGGCTAAATACGAGTAGGCCATGATGAGAATGTCTTCAACTAAGAATAATAATTCAATTCTAAGTACCTCAAGTCTGATAAAATGGTTCTTATTTTTAAATTGTTTAGTCATCACCTATAGAACTAGGCAATATAGTGTAGTTTCCTATACTCTAATTCTATTTTCTTGAAGTCCAACAGTTATGTTGAGAGGGAAGAACGCTTAAGAGTACATAGTAAATGCCAGTTAAACTATATTAATAAGGTATTAAATAATGTAGAATAAGATCACGTTAAAGATGGATGATACATTTAGTATATATTTATAGCAGATAGTTACTTACCCAAATATACATTAAAATGAAAAATGCTTTTTTTTTTCCTGTACAACAGAATCTCAAATGGGTATTAATCAACATTCATGGAATGGAATTTTTTTTTTTTGCAGACAGGGTCTTATTCCATCACTCAGACTAGAGCACAGCGGCTCACTGCAGCCTTGAATTCCTGGGTTCAAGTGATTCTCCCGCTTGAGCCTCCAGAGTAGCTAGGACTATAGGCACAGACCCCACTACACTCGGCTAATTTTCTAAACTTATTTTTTGTAGAGAAAGGGTCTTGCTATGTTGCCCAGGCTGGTCTCTAACTCCTGGCCTCAAGCAATCCTCCTGCCGCAGCCTCCCAAAGTGCTGTGATTTTAGGTGAACTATTTCTGAATTGCTCAACTTTACCTAACGTTTTAATCAAATGACCATCTACAAAATAAAAACCATGAAAAAATATTTATGAATAATATCCAGCAATGGTGTATCAATTACCAGAAATATGGTTTTTGGATTTTTCTGTTTTTCTTTTTTGAGACAAGGTCTCGCTCTGTTGCCCAGGCTGGAGTGCAGTGGTACAATTTCAGCCCACTGCAAACTCATCGTCCTAAGCAATCCTCCCACCTCGGCCCTCCAAGTAGCTGGGACCACAGGTGTGTGCCACCATGCTCAGCTAATTTTTATATTTTTTGTACAGATGGGGTTTCGCCACATTGCCCAGGCTGGTCTTAAACTCCTGAGCTCAAGCAATCCACCCACCTGGGCCTCCCAAAGTGTTGGGATTACAGGCATGAGCCAGCAGGCCCAGCTGTTTTTTCAATTACGGAGAATCAGTCACAAAATGTGAAGTACGTATATTACCACATTTCCATTATCTTAGTTAAAATGTTAAAAGGGGGAAACACTGTGGAAACGTGAACTCTTATCTAGTTAACTATGCCAGAAATAACATTATTATTATAATGTTACAATAATGGAAAACCAAATACCTGCATGTTCTCACTTATAAGTGGGGTGGGGGCTAAACATTGGGTACACAACAGACACTGGGGAATACAAGAAGGGGGAGGGAGAGGGCCAAACTAGCTAATGGGTACTATGCTTACCACCTAGGTGATGGATTCATTTGTACTCTAAACCCCCAGCATCACGCAATAGGACTTTGTAACAAACCTGCATATATATGTACCCCAATTCTAAAATAAAAGCTGAAAAGAAAAAAACCACAACTAATCTCGGCCTTAAATAAACGAAGTTAGAAGACGCCTGTTAACTATCACAAATATAATTAACTACTGTAAAAGGCAGAAAACTTTTATCACGTTTAACGAAAATTTCCTCACAATCAACATTTCACAGGTTTTGTTACTGAAGTAGTCAATTTCAATTACATAAGTTCACCTCTCTGGAACATCCAATATCTTTTGCTAATCTCAAAAATACCAAGTAATGAAAACTAAGGTAATGGTCAGGTTTATATCAGAGTTAATGAATTAGTACTGGCAATATAAGTACCTTATTTTTGGACTACTATGCTTGAAGAACTGTAAAAATTTGGGAATCATGATGTTGAGAGGACGATCTAAAACATCACTATCTAAAATCTCAGCAGAATCTTCACAAATCTTCTGAAGGGCACCAAATGCTCCCTGTAAGAGACACATTTAAATTATTAGAATTTGTTAAAAATGAAGCCATATGAAAACAAGCTGAAGAATGCTGACTAATTTGTATGGATTAATGTTCTCGGCCCACATAAAATGCCTTATAAAATCTGTAAATTTAATCGCTCAAATTTTTTTTTTTTTTTTTGAGACGGAGTCTTGCTCTTTCGCCCAGGCTGGAGTGCAGTGGCACAATCTCGCATCACTGCAACTTCTGCCTCCTGGATTCAAGTGATTCTCCTGCCTCAGCCTCCTGAGTAGCTGGGATTACAAGTACCTGCAATTGTGCCTGGCTAATTTTTGTATTTTTAGTAGAGATGGGGTTTCATCGTGTTGGCCAGGCTGGTCTCAAACTCCTGACCTCAGCTGGTCTGCCTGCCTTGGCCTCCCAAAGAGCTGGGATTACAGGCATGGGCCACCACGCCCGCCCTAATATTCAATTTTAAAACAAATTATAATATCATCGAGTATGTAAACATCTCAGTTAAAATACAAGGGTATATTTTAGTTTTAGCATTAAATGACTTAGAAGTGAAGGATATTTTGGTTGGCAGGAAGTAAATACCAGTTTGTTTAAATTAAATATAAAACTACATTTACATAGAAGAGTAATCACCATAATACTTTTCTTTTTGAAGCACAGAGAGGTCATTAATACCATTAAAAAGTTACTTAGGCCGGGTGCGGTGGCTCAAGCCTGTAATTCCAGCACTTTGGGAGGCCGAGGCAGGTAGATTACCTGAGGTCAGCAGTTTGAGACCAGCCTAGCCAACATGGTGAAACCCCGTCTCTACTAAAAACAAAAAAATTAGCTGGGTGTGGTGATGCATGCCTGTAATCCCAGCTACTCCATAGGCTGAGGCATGAGAATCGTTTGAATCCTGGAGGCAGAGGGTACAGTGAGCCAAGATCGCACCACTGCACTCCAGTCTGGGTGAGAGGGCAAAACTCTGCCTCAAAAAAGAAAAGTTACTTACATATAAAAGTATTCACCGGGTAACTGGTGACAAAATCTGTTGCAAGGGCAGGCAATGCAAATTGGCGACCATTTTCCTAAAACCATTTTAATACTAAAGGGGAAAATCCAGAGCCTTTGCACATAACATATAACCTATTAGTTACCCACCCACCTACTTTACCGTTTATATTATATAATTCCATCAGCAGCAACTTGATGCTTATTCTCCATAGTACAGCTTTAACGTGTCCAATAGAAGGTAAAATCCTTTAAGGAAATTACTCAACATCCTTTCAGATTTTATAATATCTTAAAAATATTAAATCTGAAAATATTTTTAAGTCTAAAATTTAATCAATATATTAAATTTCAGTCTTCAATTTAATATGCGTTAAATATCAGGAATTTTAATTGTCATGCTAAAACAGTCATATTTAATTATTAAGGTTTTTTTTTTTTTTAAAAAAAGCTTTACTTCTGAAACCCTATTACATCAAATTAACCTATGTGGCAATTAAAAATTTCAAATAAGAACAAACATTTAGCTATCACTACATACCAACATCTGGAAAACCACTATCTTTAGTGCAGATGGATGGGAATATTGTTTATTTACAGTATGACTTCTATGTAGTACACCAGCTCAACAATTTCACAATTACTGCAGCTTAAATTTTTTATTCTTGGAAAGTGCTTGAATTTTGATCTTTTTTTTTGAGACAGAGTCTTGCTCTGTCGCCCGGGCTGGAGCGCAGTAGCACAATCTCGGCTCACTGCAAGCTCTGCCTCCCAGGTTCAAGCCATTCTCCTACCTCAGCCTCCTGAGTAAGCTGAGACTACAGGAGCCAACCACCACGCCCGGCTAATTTTTTGTGTTTTTAGTAGAGATGGGATTTCACCTTGCTAGCCAGGATGGTCTCCATTTCCTGTCCTTGTGATCCGCCCGACTCGGCGTCCCAAAGTGCTGGGATTACAGGCGTGAGCCACTGCGCCTGGCCTGATCTTCTTTTATATTACTACCATCACACCAAAGCACCATTTAAATGCAATCAACTGTCACATGATTACTCACCTAGCTTTTCTGTAATCTTATCAGTGTATTTCCAAAGTTTTTTTTTTTTTTTTTTTTTTTTTTTTTTTTTTGAGATGGGATTCTTGCTCTGTTGCCCAGGCTGGAGTGCAGTGGCGCAATCTCGGCCCACTGCAATCTCTGCCTCCTGGGTTCAAGTGATTCTCCTGACTCAGCCTCCCGAGTAGCTGAGATTATAGGCATTCGACACCATGCCTGGCTAATTTTTGTGTTTCAGTAGAGATGGGGTTTCACCACGTTGGTCAGGCTGGTCTCTCAAACTCCTGACCTCAAAAGATCCGCCCGCCTCAGCCTCCCAAAGTGCTGGGATTATAGGTGTAAGCCACCACACCTGGCCCCAAAGCATTTTTATGTATATGGGAACGAACAATTTTTCTTTTTCTTTCAAGGAGCAAGAAACGTGGCTTTAAGCAGTACTTAGCTAACTCCTCCTCTCTCTATCTTCTCTCTCTATTTCCCTTTATCCACCTGTCGGGCAACAAACTGCCATGTCCTAAAACCACCTTATGTGTGGTTAGGTGCATTTTTTTCTGGAGATAGGGTCTTGCTCTGTCGCCCAGGCTGGAGTGCACTGGTGTGATCTCACCTCACTGCAGCCTCCACCTCACAGGTTAAAGTGATCCTCCCACTTCAGCCTCCTGAGTAGCTGGGACCACAGGCGCACATCACCACACCTGGCCAATTTTTTTTAATAGGGTTTCACCACATTGCCCAGGCTGGTCTTGAACTCAAGCAATCCACCCAGCTAGGCCTCGGGATTACAGGTGTAAGCCACCATGCCCAATCAGTTTTCTTTCCCTTTTAGGTTAGGTTATTCCTGTGGGTTGTTTTTGGTTGTTGACAGGTTATTCCTGTGCCTGCCCTGCCTTCAATCTCCGCTCTCTGAGAGGTAGAGGAGTCACTGCTTTATAGAGTCAAAACACGGAATATGGTTTCCACATAAAATAGATTTCCACCCAAATTGGAAGCCTGCTAATAGATACTTACAGTATCCACTAACCATGAGAAATCATTCTCTCTCCCCAAACGAAAAGGATGCTAGAGATCTAATCAGTGGCAAAGAACACCCACAGGTCAGAGTTAACGTATGATTAAAACTAAGACAATGGTCTGGTGCAGAGGCTCACACCTGTAATCCAAACACTTTGGGAGGCTGAGACAGGTGGATCATTTGAAGCCAGGGGTTCAAGACCAGCCTGTCCAACATGGTGAAACTCCACCTATACTAAAAATACAAAAACATTAGGCAGGTGTGGTGGCTCATGCCTATAATCTCAGCTACTCGGGAGGCTGAGGTGGGAGAATCACTTGATTCTGGGAGGCAGAGGTTGCAGTGAGCTGAGATTATGCCACTGCACTCTAGCCTAGGCAACAGAGCAAGACTCTGTTTGAAACAAACAAAAAAACAAAAAAATGAAGACAAGTTTAGTGAAGTGCAGCTGCTCATGCCTGTAATCCCAGCACTTTGGGAAGCTGAGGCTGGAGGATTGCTTGAGCTCAGGAGTTCGGGGTCAGCCTGAACAACAGCATGACCCCATCTCTACCAAAAAAAAGAAAAAATTAGTCTAGCATGGTAGCACATGCCTGTAGTCCCTGCTACCTGGGAGGCTGATGTAGGAGAACTGTTTGAGCCCAGGAGGTTCAGCTATGATGGTGCCACTGCACTCCAGCCTGGCAACAGAGTGAGATCCTGTCTTTAAAAAAACAAAAAAAACAAAAAAACAAAAACCCCACCAAAAAAACAACAAAAGCACAAGTTCAGCATCCCTTAGATATCACATAATAAGAGGCATAAAAACAATTTAGAGAAGTTAAAAAAGTACTCAAGGTCCAGGAATTTGGTAAATTTCAGTCTATCTTTCACTGATTAAGCTTGACACAAACTGTTTATTACATACGTATACATCCAAGAATAATTTTATCACAGAAAAACAAGATACGTCCTTGTGTGAAATATAGTAAAAGAGGTTTATAATGTAACAGTTTTTACAGAAAAATAAATGATTTACAAATGTAATATAACACAAAGGTAACTTTAGGTTTCTAAGTTTTGAGAAGCTGTATGTTTCGTAGGAATTATTTTCCCCCAAAGCTGCTAATACATAACATGACAAGAAAAACAGAAAAAACCCAATTATATATGAAACCAATATCCTTACCTCACAAGTATTGTAATCTTCAGAATCCAACAGGCTACAGAGTTTTGGTAAGAGGTCAGGCCAATTCTGCAATTCTCCCTTGGAGGCTATAGTTGTGATCAAAATACCTTGAACGAAAACACACTTCTTTAGGAAATCCAACAGCATTATGTTAGGTATTGCCATGTGAGTAACTGTATGTACAAACACACTTTATGTAAATAATAACATTTGGCTAGATGTGGTGGCTCATGCCTGTAATCCCAGCATTCTGGGAGGCCTAGGTGGGTAGATCTCTTGAGCCCAGGAATTCCAGACCAGCCTGGGCAACACGGTGAAACCCCGTCTCTACTAAAAATACAAGAAAATCAGATGAGCATGATGATATGCGCCTGTGATCCCAGCTATTCAGGAGGCTGAAGTGAGAGGATCACCCGAGTCAAGGAGGTCAAGGCTGCAATGAGCCATGATTACGAGACCGCACTCATGCCCGGGCAGAGTGAGACCCTGTCTCAAAAAAAATTAGTAACACTCACCGACGACACGCATATCACCATTGCATATCTTGTGGGGAAAAAACCTCACAGAAACCAGATCTGTTTCTAATACTGTTTTTCAACATTTCACCCTCTAAGGGTTTTTGAGTTAAATTTACCAAGTATAAAACTGCAACTTCTTTTTCTGCCATAATACCAAGAATAGTTCCACCAATTAAAATTAATTCTAATGGCTGGGCACGGTGGCTCATGCCTGTAATCTCAGCACTTTGGGAGGCTGAGGGTGGATCACATGAGGTTGGGAGTTCGAGACCAGCCTCATCAACATGGAGAAACCCCATCTCTACTAAAAATACAAAATTAGCCGGGCATGGTGGCGCATGCCCGTAATCCCAGCTACTCAGGAGGCTGAGACAGGAGAATCGCTTGAAACCGGGAGGCGGAGGTTGCAGTGAGGCGAGATCACGCCACTGCACTCCAGTCTGGGCAACAAGAGTGAAACTCTGTCTCAAAAGAAAAAAATAATAATTCTGATTTATCCATACAAAAGAGTAGAAAGTATACCAAAATGTTAGCAGCACTTAACACTGGGTGATGAACTTACGAGTCTGTTAGGTTCAAATAAAAGACACATTAAGAGGCTAAAAATAGCTCCCTGACTTAATCTGGAACTAGAGACAAGGAACATGGTAGGAAAAACTTAAGTAGATAAGCATCACTTGAGAATAATTCTGCATGTTTCACTGCTTACAACACTCTCCCTCACGTAGGCAGGCTACATACTCCTAAAACAGTTCCCACTTACTGGATCAAGAATGAGTCGCCAGAGAGGCGATCTTGGAGGCTGGGTGGCCCAGGCTCACTGATCATGTTGTTCTGACTGAACAGATTATCTCAACTGTGTTGTGCAGCTGAGTTGTTGATAGTCAATGAATTATGCAAATACACACAAATGTAAGGAAAGTTTTGTGTTAATACAAACACAAGGACAACAGAAAGGTCTTGTGTTAACATTTTTTTCTGCCTTAGTAAACATATTAGTGATATAATATGCTTAGTGATCATGGATCTTTCAGTGCCAGAAGAGTATAAACTCTTGACAATAGGAAAATTATATGCATTCTAAGCTGCAAAATATGAGTGTGCAAAAAGGAAAAAAGGAAACTCTTCATAGGGTTATTTTGAAAATTCAGCTGGATATATACAAAATGCCTGGCATCTAGTAAACACTCAATGACTATTACTGAACAGCAAATATTACTGTGTATATAAATTTTCTACCTTTAGTTTTGAGAAGGTTACTCCCAATGATAAAGAACTAAAAAAGAATCTAGAAAGTAAAGCTCCTGGCAAATTTACTCTTCACACACACAAAAATTAAATTGTATAGTAAGAATTAATGTACTGATAGCATTTTCGACATATAGCCCTTACAATAAAATAGCCTTCCATTAGGATCCAAAAGCAGCAAGACCTGATCCTTCCTGCAAATTAGTCTTTCCTAAAGTTAAAATATAAAAGAACTAAGGGAATGAGAAAGATCTGAATCTGTCTAAAAGAAACCAAGCATGACTTAAAAAAGACTACAAACAAGCAATAAATCACAACAATTAAACCCCATCTACAACTTGGTACTAACGAACTGCTCACATTCATTACTTCTGTTAGCAGAACACTAAAGAATGTTGATGTACTAACAAACTTACCTGCACCCATCATCTCACCCACACATGAAGCAGCATCTAATACCTAGCATAGCTGCAAAAAGTGGGAAGTGACACATATTTCTCAGTATTTACAAGAAATACAGGAATGAAATCAGTGTGCTTGGCAACAACTACTAAAATCTTAAAAAGTTTAAACACACTTTGACCCAATAATGCCACTTACACGAATTAATCCTACAGAAATTTGCCTGTAAGTGTACAAACACATACAAGAGAATATTCATTGAAATAATAAAATTACAAACTATATACTCTCTAAACAAGAGAAACATCTTTACCTCATCTAATGAATTACCCAACAGTCATTAAGATGTGGTCCCTTCCAAACAGACTTCCTTGGTAAGATTCCCAAAATGTATTGTTAAGGTTAATAAAAATTTTTAAAGCCAAAGCTGCAAGTCTATTTTTATAATCAGTAATCTTTTAATTAAGATATTTAAGTATTGTAAATATTATTAATAGGTGCTAAGAAATACAAAACACATGGTCCTTGCCCTTAAGGAGTTCAGTCAGGCACTCCCTGACCCTAACACGTGACATGGTCTGGAGACATTTTTGGTTGTTACAACAGGGTATATGGCTGCTACTGGTACCTAGTGGGTACAGGTCAGGTGTGCTGATTAACATCCTGTAGTGCACAGACAAAATAGCCCAACAACAAAGAATTATCCAGTCCAAAATGTTAAGTGCTGAGGTTGGAAAACTCGGGTCTAGAGGAACAGAGTCCTACATTAACTGATAATGTAGAGTCGGAGTACTTGCACGACTATACATACACCAAGAATTTTCTGTGAAGGTTAGTAATTGATGAAGAGTCTGTTGCCAATTCTTAGAAATGATTTTCAGAAATCCCAAAAAATTATTTCACTTACAAAATATGTTCCTGGAAGTGTTTTACAACTTTTTCTCATGTAAACAAAGATTAGAAAATTTAGGTGATTAAAAAAACAACCACCTTCCCAGATTTGTTGGAAAGCACCAATGTATTTAAATAAACTCATCAATTTTCCTGAAGCAAAACAAACAAAACAACAAAATTATGAAATATTTTAGTGTTTTTTTTTTTTTTTTTTTTTTTTTTTTGAGACGAAGTCTTGCTCTGTAGCCCAGGCTGGAGTGCAGTGGCGCGATCTTGGCTCACTGCAAACTCCACCTCCCGGGTTCATGCCATTCTCGTATCAGCCTCCTGAGTAGCTGGGACCACAGATGCCCGCCACCATGCCCGGCTAATTTTTTGTATTTTTAGTAGAAACGGGGTATCACCGTGTCAGTCAGGATGGTCTCGACCTCCTGACTTTGTGATGCCCGTGCCTTGGCCTCCCAAAGTGCTGGGATTACAGGTGTGAGCCGCCGCACCTGGCCAATACTTTAGAGTCTTAATGCTGTGCCCCCAAAATAATTTCTCCCCTCTTTGGGAAGAATCTGTCAATCACACCTTTCACCACCTTCACTAATACATATAGCTGAAAGGGGTGTGTGAAGGGAGGAGGGACAAAAATGAACTCATTTTTAGCTAACTTATTTCAAGCTCATAGCTGTTTTATCTAGTTAACATTACAGACTTTTTAAAATAGAAAATTTCACATATATACATAAAAATAGAAAAATACCACGAACTAAGTGTATCCATTAATTAGGTTCAACAATCATTAATACATGGTCAATGTTGTTTCATCCATAGTTCTACCCACAACCACCTTAACATTCCTAATTGCTCTTTTATGAAATCCCAGACATCATGTCATTTGAAAATACACTGCAGTTATGTTTGAAGCTCCTTCATCTGTAGTAAAGCAACTAAATAAAAGCTGTTTCTACACTGAAAACTACAATAGTCCCTCACAATTAGAATATTTAAATATCTACTTAACATAAACTAAAATGAAAGACCTTTCGTATTCTACTAATACACAGCAAGAAATAAAAATACCTACATAAGTCAATTTCACCAATCTCCATTTTAAAATAAGTCAGATGATACCTAAGTGCTTAAATAATTCCCAAGATAAAGTCAGCTCCTAAACATGTTCAAAAACCTTATGGAAGGTGAAAGTACTCACTGGGAGATAAAACCAATTCTTCTCTCCCCAATACTATTACTTCTAACCTTTCAAATTTAAAGACACAAAGTATTGTAGTTTGAACCAAATGGCACTTAAAGATAGGTTTATAATGAAACACAGTTTAGGAAGAAACAATCTCATATCTAGTTTCTAAATCCTCTCCTTTCCTTTCAGCTGAGTTGCCAACTCTCAGAGGAAACCCACCTTCCCTCCAAATCCCATTCCACTTATGTATGGGGATTTCTCTCCTGGATCTGAAATGGAAAAGGCTGGCACACACTCACCATTCTTTTTAACAGTATCAAGAATAGGTAAAGCCTTAAGGTACCTAAGAGTATATTAATCTAGCGAGTCCTTTTTCTTAAACCACAAATGTCCTCTACCCATCAAATTTAAAATCAGTGTCAATGATGGCACTGTTTAATACAAGACTATCTAGAGGGATGTGATAGAGCCAATGCTTTGTAAGTAAAGAGATGAATATTTTTCAAACCCACAACAAGACAAAATAGGAACTTTTTTTTTTTTTTTTTGACAGATTTTCGCTTGTTACCCAGGCTGGAGAACAATGGTGTGATCTCGGTTCACTGCAACCTCTACCTCCAGGGTTCAAGCGATTCCCCTGCCTCAGCCTCCCAAGTAGCTAGGATTACAGGCATGTGCCACCACACCCGGCTAATTTTTTTCTATTTTTAGTAGACATGGGGTTTCACCATCTCAGGCTGGTCTCGAACCCCTGACCTCAGGTGATCCATCCGCCTCAGACTCCCAAAGTGCTGTGATTACAGGTGTGAGCCACCATGCCCAGCCAGGAACTCTTAATGAAAGCATCTGACTCATTTAACTGATTTTCATTTAACCAGCCTGGGTAGATTAACAGAAGCTTTCCAGGTCCTTGTAAAAGTTAGCTGTCTAAGCCCACGGTATACTAAAGTCTGCCCATTAGTAAGCTCCTCTTCAGTATGGCTATTTATTACTGCTTCCATTGGTTGGTATATGGTGTTAACCAACAGCCAGTTGTGTGTGTTTCCAAATAGATTTATACGAGTTACTATAACTAAGCATGTTAATTCAGTATTACATAAGCTAACAGAAAGTTGTATTGCCCCTGAAAATAAGCTGAACACTCTGAAAAGACTAAAAAGTTGCTGCTGAATTACCGACAAGGCAAATATTTAAAAACAAGGGAGAAAATAGTAAAAATCTAGAATCCTATATACTTAGGTTTTCCATAAACAATCAAAAAGTATTTCTTTACCTGTAAAAGTGAAACAAGAAATTACATCCCATGCATTACGCTAGGCAGAAAATAAGAACTCCAAGCCAGGCACCATGGCTCAGGCCTGTAATCTCAGCACTTTGAGAGGCTGAGGCAGGCGGATCACCTGAGGTCAGGAGTTCCAGACCAGTCTGGCCAACATGGTGAAACCCTGTATCTACTAAAAAGTACAAAAATTAGCCGGGCATGGTGGCAGGTGCCTGTATTCACAGCTACTCGGGAGGCTGAGGCAGGAGAATTGCTTGAATCCAGGAGGTGGGGGTTGCAGTGAGTCAAGACTGTGCCACTGTACTCCAGCCTGGGCAACAGAGACTGTCTCAAACGCTCTCACCCCACACACACAAAAAAACAAAAAACAAAACAAAACAAAACAAAACAAAAAACCAGAACTCCAATCTGCACGCTCAAGAAAAAGTAGTGTCTGCAAATTAGTATCACTTATTGATGCCCCATTTTAACGAACTCTGATTAAACTAAGTTTAATTAGGCTCTCCTTTTATCCAGGGTCACTGGTTTCACTGGATGAGAGAGCTTTTACCATGATTACACCATTTCGAAAGCATTTAAGGCAATGAAAGTTTCCCCATCACAATTTAACATGAACCAATAAAAATTCCTAAGGAAATAATCTGTCATCTCTAAAAACGACCCAATTACAAACAAAGTAAGCAAAACTGTTGTAATACAACTTACCAACAGTGGCTCTAATCAGAGGAGAGGAGTCACCAATATTATTTAAACATTCACTTTTAATAAAGTCTGTTACACCATTTGGGAAGTTCTGAAAGTGTGCTTTCACATTATTCTTCAAGATGAGACCACTCAATGATCTTGTGGGTTCATCTGTAATAAAACAGTAATAGTATTGAGTTTTGAAGTAGTCTTAATTTCAAAATGTGCCGATAACAGTAGTTTTAAAAATATTTATATTCAAAAGTTGACTGACATTCAAACTTGCTATAACCAGTTAAAATAATTATAACTGATTAACAAAAGATTAGTGTATGATTTATAGCTCAGGGTTTTTCAACCTTGACATACTGACAATTATTTGTTGTGGGGTGCTGTCCTGTGCATTTTAAGATGTTAAGTAGCATCATTAGCCATAGATTCCAGCAGCACCCCTCCAAGTTGTGTTAACCAAAAATGTTTCCAGATAATGTCAAATGTCTTCTGGGGGTTAAAATTGTCCTTGGTTGAGAACCACTGATTTAGTTTGAGTTAATTTAGTTTACATATATGGCCACTGTGCTTGAGCTTTATTGTTTCCTGATATAAACATCATTATAGAGCTGGAAGTATTAGTCATTAAAAACATCCTTTTTTTTTTTTGGTTTAAGGGCTGGGCGTGGTGGTTCATGCCTTTAATCCCAGCACTTTGGGAGGCCAGGAGTTCAAGACCAGTCTGGCCAACATGGTGAAACCTCATATCTACTAAAAACCCTCAAATTAGCCAGACATGGTGGTGTGTGCCTGTAATCCCAGCTACTTGGGAGGTGGAGGCAGGAGAATCATTTGAACTCAGAAGGCAGAGACGCCAAGATCATGCCACTGCACTCCAGTCTAGGCGACAGAGTGAGACTGTCTCAAAAACAACAAAAAATTTTTTTGAAATCATTTTCCTCCAGTGTCAAAAAATATAATATTGGAAAAATTAAGTGGACAAAGAATATATAAGATCATCTTCATGTAACATATAATTGCTGTTAATTTATATCATGATTTTCATTTGCCTCTGAACTTAAAAGCAAAAAAAAAAAAAAAAAAAAACCCCAAAAACATTTAAAGAGTTTCCTTAAAATAGGTTTAATCCATAGATAGTATTTACAAAATTTCAAAAAGCAACTTAATACTAGCAGAACATAACTGATGGCTTTACCAGTTGGCATCAACACCAACAATATTAGCAATAGCTAACATCTTCATTAAACACTGCTAAGTGCTTTTCAAATGGCACTGCACTTAATCCTTACAACTTCATGAGGCAGGTATTATTCATTCCATTGCACAAGTGAAGAAGCTAAAGACTTTGAATCATTCTTCAGTATTACCCTCCTCTCAAAGGGCTATAAGATGAAGAGCTGGTGTGTTGAAGAGAACGTTATTTTAACACCACTGTTTTACCTGTCTTCTTAAAAAATAATATATTCCAAGCTTGTTCTAGTTAGTATGATGTTCCCAAACTCTGACTGGCACTGAAATCTTCAAGAGTGAAGCACATGTAGAGGCAAAAAGAGCATTTTCTCTGCACACAACTTCGCTCAGGTCATCACAGCACTATAAAATCTTGTATGTCATCATTTAAAAACTACTTTTCATTTTCAATTACAACCCATTCCAATGAGTAATTTAAAAGGAAACAAAACATACTTTTAAATTCTCTTAAAAGTTAAAAATTGCCATGAAATAAATGAAGTCAGATATTTAACTTCTTCAAGCAATAAACTTGCCTTAAATTACCTGTTAATAATTCACCCATATAATTATTTTAAATGGCATGACTTCGTTTACAAGAAATATAGCATATTGTTTTTACCATAAAGGTTATAAGATGAAGAGTCTTAATAAACCACAAAATGAAGTGAAACAATTCAATATGAGAAGTATATACTCTCTTAAAATCCATTTTAAAAATTCAACGACTAATGATTTCCTTTGTTTTAAAAAAATTAAGACTATTTCAGTGGACCCTCAATTTGTTCATTTGTAAAGTGAGAGAATTAGAGCAGCTGATCTGAGGGCTCTTATAGATCAAAAATTTTACTCTACAATTCAGTGATAAGATTGCTAAACAAGCATTTTCATTTAAGATATTACTTGTATTGCTGCTTTAATATGAACGGCCATGATGCAAAGGTTTTTTTAAAACAGAAAACTACATGCAGCAAACTTGTGTCCCAGTCTTCCCAGGGAAAAAAAAATAAATGCATAAACGCAACAAGAAATATCAAGTGTTATACCAACGTAAAACTACTGCATCCTTGGAGAAACTGCATAATGAACATAAACACATTTTAGGGTCAAGAAAATCCGAAAAATATCCTTTCCAACATTTTATGGTTTTGTAATTAATGCTCTGTGAAAGCAATGGCTTCCAAACTCTCTTGCCACTACTGAACAAGTTGTATGTTTGTGTTTTTTTAAGTACTTCTGAAGCATCCCAGGCTGGAGTGCAGTTACACAATCATAGCTCACTGCAGCCTTGACTTCCCGAGCTCAGGTGATCCTCCCACCTCAGCCTCCTGAGTAGCAGGACCACAGGTGTGTGCTACTATGCCAGCTAATTTTTTATAGAGATGGAGTTTCACCATTCACTATGTTCCTCATCTTGAACTCCTTGCCTGAAGCAATCTTCCTGCCTTGGCCTCTCAAAGTGCTGGGATTACAGGCGTGAGCCACCTTGCCTGGCCTGAAGTATCCTTATATTCCAAGAAAGAGCCACCTTGCCTGGCCTGAAGGAAGTATCCTTATATCATAAGAAAGCTTTACTCAAGAGTATAATATTGCAACAATCCTAACATTTAGAATGTAGGATGAGAACATGAGAGTGGACAGCTTAGTGAAAATAAATAAAAATTTCAAATAAAACAATTACAGATTTAAAAAATCCATTTATAAAATCTTAGTAAAGAAACAAACAGGTTGATCACAAACTGTGTCAGAAAAATTTCTATATTAAGCAGCAATGTATCACAAATATATTTATCAAACTAGGAATATTAATTGCTGAAAGAATTCTTAGTGTCTTAAAACCTAGACTTACGAGTTCTCGATTTTCTATTGTGTCCTTCATTCACAAATTAAAATCCCCCAAATTAACTACAAAATCAACTGAAAATAATTCAAAAGAAATTGCTGTGTATGAATTATGAAAATCTGAATACAGGATCAGTGAGATTTTTACTACACATTAACACTATTAACCTGTCAGAATTTGGAGCTAAAACTTTACAGATGGTCTGGTTGTCTAAAACTTGTTATTTCCCAATTCCAAGAGCATGGATTTTATTAATTGCACCATACCTTCTAAAACACTAATCACTGAATAGGGTACAGTGCTTTCATTTAGAGGCCAAACAGATGCTCAATAAATATTTGACTTCCAGGTGTCCACAATGTTTCAGGAAGGGAATACCCAAATAATGCTACCAGAAACAACTCTCACTACAATGTAAGCTCCTTGAGGGCAGTGAGTTTTGTCTGTTTTGTTCACTTTTCTCTCCTGAGCCTGCAAATTGCATGGCAAAGAGATGGTGCTCCATAAATATTTATGAAATAATGTCTAGTGGGATACATTATGTATTATCAGAAATAATCAAATGACCATGTTATTTAATAATCAGACTACTCAGGCTTTAAACTGTCATAGAAATAATTTAAATTTAAAATTAAGAGTCATGAAAAAGTTTCATGTATACTGTTAGAAGTTTCTTAAAAACTTACAAAAGCCTACTTATGAATAGAATGATCCCACTTTTTGCTAAATAATTTTAAAATAGTATGTGGCCATATAAGAGCAGAGGAGGACAGAATTCAAGAGATCAACAATAATTATCTCTGGAAGATGCAATAATTTTTCATTTTGATTATATGACCTTTCAATTTTTTTCTACAATAAACACATATATTCAGTTATTAAATCCTACATTCAATCTTTGTATTACAACCTTTGTTATATCCATCTATACGTATGGAAGCAAAACATTAGACTTTGCAACAAGTTTTTTATCTGCAAAGAATTAAGTAACTTATTATACAAACACCCAATTAAAAATGAATGCTGGCTGGGCACAGTGGCTCACACCTGTAATCCTAGCACTTTGGGAGACTGAGGCAGGCAAACCCTCTGAGGTCAGGAGTTCAAGGTTAGCCTGGCCAACAAGGCAAAACTCTGTCTCTACTAAAAATACAAAAAAATTAGCTGGATGTGGTGGCGCATGCCTGCAATCCTGGCTAATAGGGAGGCTTAGGCATAACAATCGTTTGAAGCGGGGAGGCAGATGTTGTGGTGAGCCAAGATCGCACCACTGCACTCCAGCCTGGGTGACAGAGTGAGACTGTCTGTATACATAAAAACAGGAATGCTTATTAAGCATCTAAATATTGAGTGGTATTAACTAAGACTGTCCATCCCACATCTATAAAGCACATGGTTACTACAAAATGAAATTATTTGAAATGAATAATTCTCAGTACACTTAAATAGGTCTTAAAGAAACTTTAGTTATCAAGGCAAATCCTACTTACCTTCAGATTTTAATTTTGTAAGAACAAAAATCAAGTAGTTGTTAAAGTCTGGATATTGATTAAGTTGTTCCAGTTTCTAGAACAAACAGTAGTTAAGGAAACTTGTCTGTGTAATCTCAGTGAGAAATTAAGCGTTTTTAATCTAACAATCAAGGATCTCTTTGGTGATATTTTCAGTCCTGCATTTTTTTTTTTTTTTTTAACTAAGGCTAAGGATATCTTACCAAATCTATCAACATGTTATTTCAAAAACACACTGGTGCTTGCTAAACCTCTTAGGTGCTTTATGGCTGAAATGTATCAATTACGTGCAATACAACATAAGAAAGTGCCAGCTTCAGCATGCTCAATATAGCAAAAAATATTCAAAAAAATTCTTAGATTTCAACTTCAAACCACTCTAAACAGAAAGGCATTTAAGTATAAAATGACAAAAATAAAAGCATTCCAAGTGAAAACAAGTCTCTCAGAGTTAAAGATCATTTACAGAAATTAACTTTATAGAATAACTTAAAAAAAAACTTTTCAGACTCATTTGTTCTTTAGAATCCAAAAAGATAAAGTGCCATTTATGCACCAGGTTATATATCTTACCATAAGGTCAGCATTATGAGATTATTGCACTACAGCTGTACAATTATTCCCCTCATCCCCAAGATTTAACATTTCCAGTGACACCAACTTTCAGGTATTTCATCGCTATCAGGAGGCAGCTGTGACAAAATGCTCTATTACATCTTTCTTCAAGCCCTGACTCCCAACCCCTAACTAATATGCTTCCCAATTGTTTTACTACACAGAAAGATTAAAATGTTTTACCCAACAAACCTAAACTTCTGATTAAATCCATGAATCAAACTTCAGCAACTTTATTAGCTATTTATTACATACTTGAATACCCTCAATGTTTAGGGGTCAGAATGTAAACGAACCAACAACATAGCCTCTAGTAAAATTCCAAAGTATAACCACTTTCTCCAACCCAGACAGTAATTCTTGTTTCAGTGAATGGCCAAGACTAACAGCATGCTGATATGCCGATGAATATTTCAAAACTATTTCCTGATAAGGTTTACCTTCTTACAACTTGAGCTACATCTCTTTATCCTATTATAGTGGTCTTTCAAAAAGTACTCAAAAGCCTACATGAAACAATAATTAAACATATTATCTTCTTAGGAGAGACAAAATAAGGTACTCTGAAACAGCAGTATATATTTTTAGCTGAAGTAGTTTTCCTCTCACAGCAACAGAAAGTTGTTCTTTCTCAGAGGACATGCTAAGTTCCAGGCACACGGAAGAAACTGTAATTGACTACCAGCCCAAGCACAGTACTGAGCATCTGACGTGCCTAATAAATGTAGACTGAAACAAGAAATTATGATATATGGTGCCACAGAATAACTGCAATGCAGGATTGGGCTTAGCTAATTTAAGAAAGTAGTAATTGTATCATACAATACCTGTAATTAATCAACTATCAACTTCTATCATCCCTAGAACTATGACAACACAAATTAAGACTAAGTCATAGCAGGATTTACAAGACACAAACGGCAATACACTCCGAAACTGTTCTTTCCTCAGTACTAGAAGTATCCAAACAAAATGGCTTTAAAAAATCCAAGCAGATCTAAATCATTATCCCTTCCACTTTTAAATGGGAAGTATTATATTAACCAAGAAGGTACGCACTAATTTTGTTATCTATTGAAGGTTTTAAGTTACGGCAATGCAGTATTTCTGCGAAACCCTCGGGGTAAATAACTTCATCTTTATAGATGTTTTGAATATAAATAAACACAAACACGAAGAGCTTACTTACCAAACTTCATATCAAGTAATTTTGCTGCTTATTGACAAATATCAAGAGGCTTTTCTGCAAAAAACAGTAGACTTAACTAACTTCTTTAGGCTTAAAAGATCGGGGGTTAAAATATTATTCATGATATAATGAGTGAATGTTTCCTTCACTGGATCCATTAAGAGCTCTCCATTTGAGCACGGTTTAGGGCACTATAGAGAGCATACGGAGTAGAGTTTTGGTTCTCTTAACCTTTTCTCTCTGTAAAACCGTAGCAACAGGATCACTACACCAGCACACTCGGTAAAGACCTAGATAACTGTGCAGTCAGCCTCGAACCAAAGCTTTAAAAAGAAAATCTCATTTGGGTGACAAGGAGCTCGCAACAGGTGTTAACACCAGTAACCCCAGGGTGAGGCACAGAGACCCTTTCCCCCCACCTGTAGGTCCCCGGCCTCTTTAGGGCAAGGACGTGGAAAAAAACTCCAGGACCCACACAGCTGCAGTTCAAACCCCGCGCCAGCTCCACCCATTTCTGGCCAGTCAGGCGGCGAGCTCCGCCGCGCAGAGCGCCCTCCACCCGGCCTCCCGCTCGGCCCGCCGCCCCCACCCGCGAGGCGCATTGTGTGGGCCCGGGCCGCTCCCGCTCGCCCGCTCCCTACCCCCGCGGCAGGTCAGTGGCGGGCGGGGACGTGGCGGTCCGGCCCGCGCACATGTAGCGATCCCGGGCGGCTGCCGGGGGCCCCCGCCTCCCGCGGGCCGGAAGCCGGGGGCCTCCGCAGCATGAGCCCCACGCGGCGGCGCCCCCAGCCCAGGCACCAGGGCCGCGTGCGCTAGTCGCCCGGCAGGGGTAGCGACGGCTTCCCCCGCGCGCGGACCCAGGCAAAAGGCCGGCCTCGGAGGGCGGGGGAGGGGCAGAGGCGGGGGCGACTGGAGCCCCCGGCCGCCGGGAGCTGGGCCGCGGCGCGGGGCGAGCTGCCCGGGTGGCGGCCAGGCCTCGGAAAGGATACTTGTTGCACGGTTCTCTGGATGGTGGTGTCTGGGGACTGGGACTCCTTCAACAGCTGCAAGATTTGCTGAAGCCCTTGCTCGTCAGGTTTCCACTCATACTCCATCTTGGTTTGCTGCAAATAAAGCCAGACACAGGAAGAGACGGAGCAAATGTTACTCCCGGTGCACAGGCCCGGAGGCTTCCCGCGCGCAGCGGACCCGTTCTCCCAGCCACCACAACCCCAGCGTTCCCCAGACGCCGCGGACCTGCCTGGGGTGCCCCGAAGGAAGTCTCGGACAGTGAAACCCGGCGGAACTGCTCCTGGCAGCCCGGCCGCCAACGTCTGCTGCTGCTGCCGCCGCGGCCGCCGAGCGCAAGCAGCCGACCAGACTGAGTCACCGCGAATTTGCAATCTGGCCCCAAGATCCGCTCACGGGAGCCCCCTGGGTCCTAGTGCCACGCAGTTTTCTCCAACCCAACCCATCTCTAATTCCGTCCAGAAGATTACTACTGACTTAAGGGCTAATAAAAAGTCAAGTCCTTATCAAAACCCCTGCGAAACACCTGAAGAGATCTGTTTTTGGTATATTATTTTACATACACATGGCGAATTAACGCAAAATGATTGAAATAGGGTAAAAAGGTTGTTAATTTCCCTGACAGTTCAGCAATAATTAGAAGCCATAAAAATGTTTACAATTCAATTTGATATATAAAGCACTAAAAAAGTCTAAAATATTGATGCAGTCACAACCTACATCTCGAAAACCATTAAATGCAACATCTGCAGAACCTGACTAAAAAAAAAAAATGTATTCCTGCATAAACTTCAACTTTTGAACTCCTATTAAGTGAAATAAATTCCATTATGAACAAACTACATTCCATAAGTAAGGACTTTGGGTCGAAGAAAATACAAGAAAAATAATGTAATTTTACAACTGGGTAGTGTTTAATTCCATTAAAGTATTTTCACATACTACAGTTTTTCATTTGATTCTCATTACAACCTAGTGAGGTATTATTTGCCTCGATGTGGCAACTAAGGCGAAAAAAGATCTGAGCAAACAACCACACTTAATCACTGAAGACTGAGACATGAATATAGGTTTTTAAAGCTACTATGAGTTGCATCTGCTACAGTCAACTGAAACTATTAATGACATTTTTCACTAAAACTAAATGCTTAAACAAAAACAACAAAATGTAAGTATCAAGCATGACTTATTTGTAAAAATCAAACAGTTTGATAAAGGAGAGGATTTTTAACATGAAAAGTCCCTTGCTAGTAGGGTTTAGACAAACTACTACCTTTTCACCTCTCTAGTTAGCTTTTTCTTTCTTTTTTAAAATGCCTTTTCCTCTCTCTTTCACTCTTATTTTTCTGCTTAATATCCTGTAGTCTGACTTTGCTCACCAAGTTCTAATGACTTCATAAATGGCCCAATCTAATAAACTGTTATTAAAAAAAACCGAAAACAAAACCACCACCATCCAGATATACAATGTATTAATGCTGTAGTGTTTTTATTCTAGTCTTCATTCTATTTTTTATGTACATTATATTTTATAATAATGGGACTGTCCTGTTTCTTGCCTGACTTCATATATCATTAAATATTTATTGAAAATATTTCAATAAAAAGTTAATAGTATTCCATTGTACCACTGTCATCATTTATTTTTATATACTTTTATTTGATACAATACAGACACAAAATTGTACAAATGATAAGCATATAATCCATAGATGGATTTTTACAAAGTGAACCCATCTGTGTAACCAACACCCAGTTCAAGACAGAGATCGCTGAGTACGAAGAGGTTTCTTTTGTGTCCAATCCCAGCCATCAACCCCTCCCAAAGTAATCCCCAGTATAATTTCTATCACTATAGATTTCTCCCCTTCCCTCTTTTAACTTCACAAACTTTTAAAAAACTACAAATATTATAATAAATCAAACAACATGGTTGTATAAGACAAATTAATTCAATCCTATCTCCAGGCTCCCTAGAGAATCTGTTTTATCAGTTTTATGTGAATCTTTCTACAGTCTAATCTCATATATATGTTTTCCTCTTTTTTTTAAGATCATCCTCCATACTACACTAATATTAACTCTACGATGTTTTTTACACATAATATGACATGGCCATAATTCCAGGCCAATACACACAAATTTAACTCACCTTTTAATAGATGCACATTGGTCTTGAGAATGGATAGAGCATAATTTGTTCAACCATCCCCTGATTGGCTTCCAGATTGCTTCTACTTTTTTGCCAGTACCAACAACACAGTAAAAAAATTCTTGTACCAATGTCCCTACATAATAGTGGCAACCTGGCAGGGTTATTAGGCCAAAAAGTATGTGAATTAAAAAATTTTAAACAGTTACTACCAAATTATTTTCCAAAAAGTTATACAATTCACACACGCCAACAATATGAATGTTTTCTTTATCTCCACCAGCACATTCTTTGAATTTTCATGAAGCTAACCAATGACAATTTAATTTTCCCTGATACTAGTGGGGGTGGGGAACTTAAAGTCTGAGCCTTAGTAATATTAGAGTTGGAGCCGCTACCAGGCATACCCTACCTGCTGAGGTGACATTCAGATAGCCCACTTAACCCCCTAGCTGCCCTTTTAAATAAGAAACTAAAACAAGGGACCAATAGCAGTCAAGTCTGAAAGGCATCTTCATTATCATATCCATCCTGAGGATGGCTGCACCATAATATCAGGCCAATAGCATGCTTCCTTCTTTATTTCTGTCGTCAAATAGGGTTTTCTTTTCAAACAGCTTAGTATTAAGAACATTTAATTTGATCAGCCTATGATGACAGAATAGGTGTTTCCCCACACCTTACTCAAATTATCTGTAACAAAAGGCTCTTAAGAATATTTGATTCAGATAACTGCTTGGTAAGAGTTATCTGAATAACTGCTTAGGCCACTTTGAACTTTTCTATCACATCTTTTTAAAAATTGTGATAAAAACTACATACATAACATATACCATTTTAAGTATACAGTTCAGTGGCCTCTATCTCCAAAACTTACTATATTTTAAAAACCATTAAAATAAGGAAGAATCTTATACCCTGGGCTAGCCAGACATTACAGGGTTAATTAGATAACATCTGAAGTACTTCAAGCTAACCAAGCACATTAGGATTATTATATGAAGTAGAAATCATTTATTTAAATAGCAAACTACATTTATATTAATTAAATAGAATAATCAATCCAATCAATATTGGATTTTCTTATAAAATTTAAATATTACCTGGAGTATTCTTTTTGCATGTTGAAGGCTCAGTTTTCTAAATGTCTCAAAAAAAGGAAGTAGTACTTCAAATTTCGCTCCTTTAGATGATACTCCATACTACACTAATATTAATTTTACAACTTATGCCTGATTGGCCCATGACATTCAATGGTGACCAAAAAAAAAAAAAAAAAAAAAGGCATTTAAACAAGCCAAAATACAGTTATTTGAAAAACAAGATAGAAGACAGCCCCAAAATAAAAAGTAGCCTGCAAGTGGTGAGTTACTGTGATACCATTTTGGACTTCCAGAAGACTAGAGCTTACTTATGAGTAAGTTTTTAACTTAAATTTACATAAAAATTTTGAATTTGCTACAGCTGAGAATCATGTGAGGTAAAGAAGCCAGACTGGCTGAAAAGAAAGTAAAAATATATAGCATCTTCCTTGCTGGATAGTCTGTAAAATATAGTTTAAAAAGCAGACTGGAGATGTGGACTCAACTGACCTACGTTTGAAGTCTAGTTCTTCCACTTGGTAGCAGTGAAAACCTGGGCAAGTTAATTCATCTGAGTCTTAGTTTCCCAACCCTAACACAGGAATACACTACCTCTGTATGCAGATCATAGGTACCTGGCACACAATATATGTAATTTGAAAAATAATAGTTTTAATAGTTAAAACTTTCTAGCATCTGCAAGATAAAATATAACTTTTTTGCATGGAAGAAATCTCTTCATGATCTGGTTCATTACCTTCAGGGACATTTTTATCTATGACTCAACCTCCAACTTTATGCTCCATCATCTTTTCCTGCACCTCTCCTACCTCTGAGCCTTTGCATAGGGATTTCCTGCTGGGAACGCCCTCTTTAAACCTGACCAATTGGCAAACTCCTTCTCACTCTTTAGAGCTACCCTCATTCACTGATTTTCCAAATATTTATTGAGAGTCTTTCTTGGCACTATGATTGATACTGGACACTATTTCTCTTCTGTGTCATTATTCCAAGATCTCCCCACAAGACTTAAGATTATTTTTCATTACAGATCTATGGTTTATAGCTATTTCCATTCTAGAAACTGTCATATTGTATTATAATTATTTCTAGGTCTGTCCTGGCAATAGATCACAAGTTCCTTGAGAGCAGGGACAGCGTCTTTTCACTCTGTTTGCCTAGCAGAGTCTGATTCAACAAATACTTGTTGAATAAACGCTATTGTTGTTGCTATTAATTCAACTGAGTAAATATTAAGTTGAACAACTACCATGTGCTCAGTGAATTTTGGAGATTCAAAGATAAGTAAAATATAGTTTTTATCCCCACTAAGTTCTCATTTGGTGAGAGAGGCAGATGAGCTGTCAATGAATGAAGTACATGATAAAGTACAATAGGAAAAGAGAAAAAAAGCAAATACATTCCACCAGGAGAGAAAGATGCATTTTCCCCTCACCTAGTTCAATTAAAATTTTTTCCATCTAATTTCAACTAAATTCAAAGTTAGATGTTTCCATCTATATGCTGAATCACTATGAATGTGAGAAATGTTGCTATTAGTGACGTCATTTCCCAAAATGGTAAACAACTCTTGGTAAGGATCCAAACAAAACAAGGTACAATTGTCCTTCAATAACATAGTAGTTTTGTTTTTTTGTTTTTGTTTTCGTTTTTGTTTTGAGACAGAATCTTGCTCTGTCACCCAGGCTGGAGTGCAGTGGTGTGATCTCGGCTCACTGCAAACTCCGCCTCCCAGGTTCAAACAATTCTCTTGCCTAAGCCGCCCAAGTAGCTGGGATTACAGGTGTGTGCTACTATACTTGGTTAATTTTTGAATTTTTAGCGGAGACAGGGTTTCACC